TTGTGTACGCGTTGTGTTGGTCTCGCCGTGCTCGGAGGCGAGGGCGAACTAGTGTGTTTGTTGTTGCACTAACTGTGGGTGTAGTGTTGTCCGGCGGGACCCCCGGCAGTGGGTCCGGCGTGTCTAAGTCCCCTTCCTCGACCGGGTCGATTAGGAAGTTTCGCGGGCGACGCTTGTTGACGTTCGCGTTTTGGTCGGATTGGTAATTTGCTGCGCTTACCACCAGAGGGTTGGGATGATGTTCGGCTCTATCGAAGAATCGTTTGGTCAGGTCTTTAAAATATTCGCGAATCGTTGGGAGTCTGCAATCGCTGTGCAGGTCGACGTTGAGTTGATACCACTGCGCACCGGTTGCGCGGCGGACGAACTTATTTTGTACTATTTGCAACTTGTACAAGCGAGTAGGGTGCGTGTGGGCGAAGGTCATGCATGCGTAAGACATAATAGGTCGTACGCATAATAATAATATGTGCCTTAAGGGCATTTTACTTTTAGCGTTCGTTAAATTGTGTAGCCGGCCGGAGACGAACGCGGCTCTATTGCGAACGTTATTAATGTGCGTAGTAAATGACATACGCGAGTCGAAAGTGACTCCTAAGTATTTGACCTTTTTCTCCCAGGGGAGCGGTTGGCCATAAAGGGATATTTGCCCCAACTTTCTGCATTGACGAGGGCCATTATAAAGATGTGACGAGTAAGTACTTCGTGTGAAGTGAATCGCCACACTCTTTTCGGGATTTATTTCTATTCTCCATTTGTGGAACCAATCGCCGAGGCGGTCGGCAGCGCTTTGGAGTCGAGCGGTTAGCTGTCTAAGGTTGCGGTCTGAATAAAAGAGCGCCGTGTCATCCGCGAAAAGCGCGAGATTGACGTGGGGGTCTTTAGGTATATCGCTCGTGTAGAGCGTAAAAAGCAAAGGTGAGAGGCAGGAGCCTTGTGGTACGCCGGCCGTGAGGCGGCGGCTTGTGGAGAGGGTGCTTTCAACTCGATATCGAAAAGAGCGGTTCGACAGGAAGGCCTGGATGGTGTGTACGAGCCTATCTGGCACTTTCGATGTCGCAAAAGCATTCGACAAGGTCTGGCCAGACCTTGTCGAAGAAAAGAGCCCCTGTACTAATATGTTTAGGGTGATTTAGGCCTTTTGGGATATGTTCCGTTAGGCGGAATAGTTGATCGGGACAGGAATGTCTAGCTCGAAAGCCGAATTGTTCCGCCGGCAGAAGGCCGTTGGAAAACACGTGCTCATTGAGCCTGTTTAATAAAAGCCGCTCGTAGAGCTTCCCCAGGCAACTGAGGAGGCTGATGGGACGATAGCTAGAGGGCTGGTTGGCTGGTTTATTAGGCTTGCGAATGCCGATAACCCTGGCTTCTTTCCAGTCGTCTGGAAAGGAGCAACTGGAGAGTAAAGTATTGTAAATGGTCGCCAGTAAACAGATAAGCGGCCCAGGGAGAGCTTTAAGAATTTTGTTACTAATATTATCTGGGCCCGGGGCGGATTTGGGGTTTAAGTTTTTAATAATATCTTGAACCTCTTCGGGGGTCACTGAATTCAAAGGATCGCCTTCTGGTGGAAGCGCAGCCCTAGTTTCGATTACGCGGTCCACCTCCGTTAGGTAGACTGTATCGGTGTGATCGCGCGATGGCGTACATTGCTGCTCTAGGTTGTCCGCAAGGCATTCGGCTTTTTCGGAGTCATCTAGGGCTACTGAAGCGCTATTAGGTCTAACTAACGGCGGTAGAGATTCGCGGGGGTCTGCTTTCAGACTGCGGACCAACCGCCAGTAGGCGGTGTGCGATGGGTCGATGTCCTCTAGGAGAGTGTCCCACGTTGTATGTCGGTGTTCCGATACACGATCTTTGACTTCTAGCTGAAGGCGTCGAAGTAGGGTTCGGTTCGATTCCGATCGGTATCGGTCGAAAGCGCGTTTGGCTGCATTTTTCTGCCTAATTAGGAGTCGCAGTTCGGGCGGAAAGTTAAACCGTCGATCGCCCGACAGTTTAACCGTCCGTTCCGAGTCTGCGACTGTGGAAGTGATGGTTTCTCGGAGACTTGCTATCGCTCGATTTGCGTCATCGAACGTAGCTATCGTCTCGGGTAGGTCGACTAAGTCCTGGGGGTCCAAGGCCTTGAGTTTGACCTCAAGACGATGCCAGTCCACTACGGATTTGGTCGGAGGGACCGCGCCGGCATTCTGGCCCAGTTTACACAGGACGGGCCTGTGATCTGAGTCTAGTTCATGGATTGTCTCTATCGACGCGATGTCGAGCGAGACCTCCTTGAGTAACATGATATCTAGGATACTCGGTGTCGCGTGTTGGTAGTTGTCCACCGTAGGATACCTAGTGGGAGTCGCAGGAGCAATTATGCTAAAGTTTAAATTATCGGATAAGCTAAAGAGATGCTTTCCGTTGTTATTTGGGATGCTGTGGATGTCCCATGAGCCGTGTTTGCAGTTTAGATCTCCTGCAATTATCACGGAAGGGCCTAAGTTAAGTAGCGTATCTAGGTCGCTTTGTAATAAGGTTTTGTTCCCCGAGAGGTAGGCTGAGACTAGTACAAGTTGCCTATGGCCGGTGAGCGGTAACCTACACGCGGATGCCTCCATATGGCTTAGCTCTGGAATGTCGAGCGGGCTACAGTGCAAGGACCGTTTGTAATAAATTAAGGTGCCTCCCAGACGGTTTGCTAACCGGTCGTGGCGGACTATGTTGTAGTTTGCGATTCTGGGATCGCGTACACTTTTAAGAATGTCTCTTGCACTAGAAAAATATCTATGTTATAATCGCGAAGGAATTCCGCGATTTCGTCCCTTTGACCCTTTATGCCGTTTGCGTTGAAATACGAAACAACCAGAGCCCGAGGTTTTGTTCTACCTGCGGTTGTACTTCCCATTAAAGTTTTTTATGAGTTCTAAACTAACGACGCGGCGGAGCGCGGTTTTATTGCGCGGACTATTTAGTTTATGGTTGGCTTGTAAATGCCCAGAGGGCTTCTACAAGCATTTTATGTTCGCTAATGGCTTTAAATCGCGCGTTGCCAGATGTGGCAGCCGCTATTTTAGCGGACATTACGGCGAGTTCTTGTCTATTAATGCGGTCTAATAAGGCGCAGATGTTGGCAATTTGGGCGAACGGGTCGTCCTTGTTTTCGGCGAAAACCGACGGTGTCGACTGCACCTGCGGCGTCGGCGCCGTTTGATAGGCGGGAGCGATTGGTCGTGAGGCGACCGGGGGCGCAACTACCTGCGCGGCCACCTGGGGTTTCGCCCAGGCGTTTACGACGGACTGTCTTTCCGTTATTGTAATTAATAAAACTATCTGGCAAGGTTTTTTATATAATTTTTTTAATGTAGTTTACTGTGGTAGGGCCACGCAATGGTGTTCACTGTTGCACAAATGGGCAGGTCCGTCCGGGTAAGTACCACGATCTCACAGAAGACCGACGTAAATTAGAAGTGTTAGACTTCTGCGTTTCCTCTGTTGGCCCCGGCTATTGTTGATTGGTAATCTCAGATTATACATACTCTTTTGATGTCAATTCTTACCTGTTTATGTATTATGTTTGAATTACTTTAAATTTGGAATGTTAGTTTTATTTGTTCAGAGTCAGACTGAATTGTGTCATATTTGATTGATTCCGTAAAAATTGCTTGGAGAAGAAACATGTATAGCTATCTGACATAACTCTTGTATTTTATATAAATCACAATAATTACGTTTCGTCCAAAATAAGTTCAAAATGTTTAAGTTGAAATAAACAGTTTTCTTATCAGTCTTTAAGTGTCTTTTTGGTTTGCAAATGATCCCATCAGCCTGGGTGATCTCTCTGGGTGACCCCGGCTACCAGTGAGATCACTGGTACTTTAATAAAAAATGACTAACATGGGCGGTAGTTATTACTTAACATTATTTATATAGTATAAAAAAAAATCCGGTTCAACCCCTATCTAAGGGATCCTAGGCTCTAGTCGTGCCTCTTTCTTGTCAGTTAACTTGTCTTTCGTTGATAGAGGTTGCGGTGATGCAACGAAATGAAAGTGAAAAATGAGCATTAGTTTCGATTTTTGGTAAATTGTATTATTTTGTAAAATATACTAAAATAGCATTTGGTTGCGATGTGGAACCCTTTCTTTTGAGACATTTTTTTGGCTATTATTTTTGCACTCACAATTTAGGAATACGGCATTATAATAGGATTTATGATCAAGACGTGTGTGACAGTGCGTGCATCGCCAATCGCGTCAAAGCCCAATTGTTTTCAGTTAGTGACATTTTCGCTTAACTGTGGTAGTGGGGTTACGCCCACATGGTATGGTACTTCCACTTCTTTTCTCTATTCCTATAACCAACCAGCAGCAAACTATATTAATAAAAATAAAATCGTTATCGATGTAATAAAAATCTGCAACTTGCAACCTCTGATGTAAACAGGGTAGGATTTTGTACTATACTTATTGTATTTGTACTATAATTTCATGCTTCGTACTATATACTTTCTTTACTTTTCGCTTTCCCAAAAAGTCACTTTGCACATTGCACTCAATGGACTATTTAATAGAGTTCATAATTGTCTAATAGTACGATTAATTTATTATTTTTATGGTACGGCCGTTCTATTCTTATTCAAAATTCAAAGTGATATCAATTTTTTGCGAGTTTTTCAGTAAAATTATTTATTTCTTTGCACAATTTATGAAAATAATAGTGTACTATAATTAAAAAACTGAAATACTATCCTTTTAAATGGTACTATCTTTTTTAAAGCACCCACCTAAGTCCAACCCTAGATGTAAATGATTTGACAAGTTTCGAATTTCGATCTCTAAGGTTATTCTTATTCCATTTGTATTTGTATTCTTTTCTCTAGCGGAATTTTACTATTATAAAAGTAATACTTTATAAATATGTCTAACATTAACTTACAATGCCTTTTGGGTATACAATGCAACGATTTTGTTATGATCGCTGCTGATCAAACTAATAGTCATAGTATTATGGTAATGAAAGATGGTAAGTTTGCAATGTTGGTTGATTAGTAATTTATTTAAACTTTTATTTTTAATTTGTATATTTTTAAAATTAGACGAAGAAAAGATATTCAGGGTATCGGATAAGCTCGTTATGGGAGTAGTCGGTGATTCTGGAGATACAACGCAGTTCGCCGAATACATCGCCAAAAACATACAGCTTTATAAAATGCGCAATGGATATGAACTGGGCCCTACAGCTGCAGCAAACTTTACTCGTCGAAACTTAGCAGAGTACCTTAGAAGCAGGGTATGTACAATTTTCAGCTTTATAAATTTTTAAGACATTTTTCTTTTAGCTGTTAATATTTTTTTAATGTTTCCCTTTTTCCAGACACCATACTTTGTCAATATCCTAATGGGTGGATATGATAAAGAAAATGGCCCTGAATTATACTTTATGGATTATTTAGCGTCCAGTGTAAAAGTGCCATTTGCAGCACATGGCTTTGGTGGATACTTGAGCTTAAGTATCATGGATCGTTACCATAAGAAAGGTATGATAGAAATTATGTATACCTAAATATGTTTATACAAATTTAAGTACCCTTCACTTTTTCTCTTACAAATTTTTCTAAAAATAAATTAACTATTAAATAAATATTGATTTAATGACTCGAGGGCACCATTGCTAAGCTCACCGACTAAATTTCTGGGTCAGGAGTTTGACTCCCATATGGGACAAGTATTTGTGTGATCCATAAATAATTATTCTGGTAATGCATTTTAAAAACATAGCTTTTAAAATGCTGCTTTTAAAATGATTCATGTGTTATGCTGACCCCACCTAGGTGAGATAAGGGTAAGAGGATGATTATGATGAGGTAATTATAATTACTGCGCAAAGCATTGGAAAAAATTTCAGATTAAAATCATATACATTTTTATCGAAATGTTCATTACAATAATTTCCTTATTATTATTACAGACTTGACTGAGGAGCAGGCATATGAAGTTTTGCAAAAGTGTGTCAAGGAAGTCCATAAGCGTTTATTTGTAAGCTTACCAAACTTCCAGGTTACTGTTGTGAACAGAGATGGGATCAAGGTTCTACCTGTTATTGATTCTTCATCCTCGAAGTGACTTTTGCATACTTAAGATTAAATGAATTAATTTTTGTCTAACATGAATTTTGTTTTAATTCAGATGCAACTGAATTCATATTTAATTTTAAATTGAATTTATATTAAATTTAAAATTCATAATCACCTTTACATGTGTAAATAACCTAAACAACTGCCAAACATGTGTTAATCTTGGACCAACAAAAAAATTATGAAAATAATTTGGTAAGTACCTAACAATTTGTCATAGTTTTAAAGTGAAATAAACAACTTTTAATGGATTCATTGCATGTTTTAACATCTTTTTGTCATATAGGTACTGACATTTCAAACATGTTCCAGTGTCCTTTCTCACAAGCAGTTATGTAATTAAAATTATTTATAGTTAATAATTCAAAATTAATGAACTGTTTACCATAAAGAAAAACCTGTAAGTATCAACTCTATTTATTGCCTTGGTAAAATAATTTAAAAGTTGATAAATTTAAATGTAATAGTTTATTGTGTTCAAATTACTCTAAATTCTTTCTTGGAGCATAAGTAATAGAAAATTAGTTCTATGAGTATTTACAAGACCTTTTAGCATGTTGATAACTTTCTTTAAGCTTATTATTAAATCACTTAAATTATAAGCACTGATTAACTTCTCAACGAATTCATATATTATGTCTTTAAACAAGCTCAAGCATCAGTATGTATAAAAACAGCCTTTTATAACTGCAATGTTTGTACTTCTAAGTAAAACAATATAAAAGTAGTTTTTCTTTTACACTATACTGTTTTTAATATTGTTAGATCTTCCATTACAGGTACTAAAAGATATTGGTTAATGAAAAGGGCATTGACGTTCGCGTCATTCAATTAAAATAGATTTAAAACGATAGAGAAAAATTAGTAATGAATTAATCCACAAGCATTTAGATTGGTTTCTAATCCTCCAGTCCCTTATAGTCTTTACTTACCATTATACTCCCTTTTTTGTCTTTTCTTTAAACAGACCTAGATTGGTGTCGTTTTTGAAATCAAACTCATAGCAATTATAATTTAAAAGTACAGCCAGCTCTGAGATTTTAATTGTTTCTAAATGCCAAGGATTTTCTTAAAACTAATAAACCAGTATTATTTTTCTTAGATCTTTGAACTTTTTTTTTTTAAATCCGTTAATCAGTGCAGTTATATAATTTGAAATTGTAGAGCACTTTCTTCGGAGATGGCGATATGATCCTCAGTAGCCTTTTGACGACCCGATGACGGATAGTGGGTAGTGTACCTGCCTCCTGCGCCAGAGGGTGTGGGTTCGATCCCCACTACTGGAAAAGTATTGTGTGACGAACATAGTGTCTGGGTGTTTATATATATGTATAATACGTATTTGTTTACAAAAGAAAAGTATGTTTATCAGTTTTATAGTACCCATAGTACAAGCATTGTGTATAAAATGTGTCCTAAAAATATTTATTTATCATACCGTAGTTGGGAAGTTTTATGGCCACCTGTTCTGTAGCAACCTCAGTTCGTTCCACGGGGCTTAATTTTAAGTGCTGGCTTATTACGTGCTCAGCAGTAAGTAAAAAATCGTGGGAAAACCTTCATATTTTGCTAAATAATAACAAAAAAAATATTTCGAAGTCCGCCAATCCGCAGTGGGGCCGTGTGTACAGAGGGATCAGGGAATCTGTATTTCTTCATGATGAATACTTAAGACGGACTGACCCTGAGGATGTTGAAGATTGGGCAAAGTGGAGGAGTTTGATTAGGAACGTAGAAGATTTAAATTTTTCATCGAAAGCAAATATCTTTCGCCTTTTGTGAAACTATGCTATTTTCACCTATAAACTTTGATCGAGAGTTTACTTTAATATCACATAGAAAGGAAGAGAACATCATCCGTAATCTTGTAATTCAGGACATACTTTATCATTTTGTATTCAATATTTCATGGCGTTAAGAAAGAAGCCATTACAAAACTCTTCCCCTATTAAGCCATTGAACCCAAATAAGTAAAATAACATCGTTGTAAATTTCCAGTTATTCCAAAAGGCTTTTAAATTTTCTGTGGTTAATTTCTTTTGCTTGTATATTATTGTAATTTTTTCCATTAATGGTTATCAAATCAAACTTGAAAGAAAACACTAATCATAGTATTTTTAGAATGTTAAATATCAGTATTTATTAAAATGCATATCTTCCTATTAAATATCATAAAATGCCAAAATAAAAATATAATTTTCAACAAGACTGTACATGAATGATAGAAGTATGGAAGGAAAGGGGTTTCCTGCCGTTCTGCGGTCTCACTCGTTCAATACGGAACGTAACTAAAAACGCCCAAGCCCAACACAAAACATCGGTAATTTAAACATTTGGTGTCGTATTTACGAAAATACTAAAATGAGGAGTTGGCGTGGTACAATCAGACATCTGCTGTAAATTAAATGAATGATAATTTGGGTACCGTATCAATAAAAGCACTGCACACCGTGGCCAAAGAGTAATTTAATACAACATATAGACCATATATAAGACATATATATTGAAATAATGTCATGTATACTAATACAGGCTAACCAAATAAGCCCGTTGGGCCGCAGGTTGAGTATAGATAGCCCTAACCATAGGAAATAAAATGGACTTTTTAAATAAAACTAGTTCTCATGTAATACTACATTACATAAATATGCTAAGTACTTAATAGATATCAATCATGCTATCCTCCAGCTTTACTTCTTTCTGGGCTCAATGCTGTAGGAATATCCTGGTTTTCAGACTGAGAATTATTTGCATTATCATTGTCACCTCCATTTTCTCCTTCATTATCAGACTGATCTGTAATAGAATGGCTGAAATGAGCTTGAATAGTTTACAAAGATAAAATTAACTTATACTTCAAAAAATCAAATAAAACATGGAAATAAGAGGAAACATTTACTTAAGTTACTTTGTTTGATCTACATTATAAGATATACACCCCTGTAAGATTGAATATTAGATCATTAATTAAGGAAATTAGTATATACATTATTAATTCACAACTGGGATGATATATGGCATGTGAAACTTACAGCTCGGAAAAGCCCCCAGTTTTTTTGTAAATCTTTTTTTAATCTGAATGCCATTTCATCATTAGGTAAAAATTGGCCTATAAATACGAAACATTTAAGGCACGCCGGAGCCGACACGTATTAGAATGGTTAGGAACCACGGTTAGGAAAACGTAGTGTGGGACGAACTGCAGCATGATGGTCTGACGTCTTACGAAAGGTAGCAGCGGGATGTCCAGGACCGATATAGTCGGCGCACTTTCGGGGAGGTTTCAGCAGTGGACGGCAATAGGTTGATATTATTATGTGAGACAAGATCTATTAATGTACAATCTCACACAAGCCCAAGACCTGCAAATACCAACCTAATGCTGAATATCGCTTGATAGATTGCATTATACATTGTAATATAAATAAAATATTATGTGAGAATTTCACCACCGGTAGAATAACCAAAGCCAATAACTTATCAACCGCGTCACTGAGTCATCATCAATAACTACCAATATTATTGCAAATAAATATTGATTTACCATAAAAATTAGATAATTTGATAAGATACCTTTCTTATCTGTTGGCATGTCTTCAGTTCTGTTAGCAACTTGAAAGTGGTACTCCAGTTCATCAAAATCAAATACCTGATCAGTTGGTAACAAACATGGTAAATATGCAGGAAATGTTGGTTTACATGCAATTACTGAAAAAAATGTATTGTTTAATTAATAACACAGTATTTACAATATATATTTCAAAAAATGTACAGTATATCTTGTCATAGTAGCCACCACATTAATAAGTTTCGAACATTTATAAAAGTGATTGAACAACTACAACAAGTGCTTAAAATCATTCAACTACATTAAAATGACCTATGTTATAAATATGTGAACTTTCATCACATTAACAATTACATTTGTTCTCTAATGGATTATGTGGTAACTTAGCAATACATAGGCTGACACTGGCATAAGCAGGGTATAAATGCGAGAAAAGAAATTGTGCCTATACGAAATTCAAAAAATTTTAAATTTACAAGTGCACAATGCTGCGGTCTGAAGAAAATAGCAAGTTCAACATCAAGGTAAACTGTAATTTGTAGTATGAAATATCTTTAGCTCTTTTGATCACTTTTGCATAAAACTTCCAATGAAGGACTAATAAAAAAACATTTTAATGCTTTTTAAAGTATGTTGTAAAATTTTCCATTAGCACAAGGTGTTTTCCAACCTAACAATCTTAGTCGAAGAGAAAAATCACTAATTAAATAATCAACAACCAGAATTCTCCTGTCATATTAGATATATTTAATTTAAAAATTTTAATTATTTATAGTGCTGATCTGTGCACTTAAGATTAAACATGAAAATATGTAGAAAAAGTATGAAGTAGATTAGCACTTAAAATTATTTTAATTTCTAAAAAAAGCAATGGTGACATCTGTCGTTCGAATTATCGTTGTAAAACAATTTTCGAAATTGTTTGTATGCTGAAAAGGATATAACAATAGATGAGCCAAGCATTGGTTCAAAAGTTAAAAAAAAAACAATGTTTATAAAAGACGTTAAGATTTTCAACAGTTTGGCAATCAGCCATTTAGCTTAGCGGCTAAAGCTTCAGGCAGTGAATGCCGAAGACGTGGGTTCAATTCCCACAGCGGCGACACTCTTTTCATACTTTTTCTACATATTTTCATGTTATATTTAGTTTATATCAAATTTAATTTTGCTAGTTTCCACTGAAATAAACTCACATGGAAAAACTTGATTATCCTCAGTGTTAAACAGGTTGTGTGTTTCACTGGTTTTTGCCAAAAACTTTGTCAATGCTCGTTCAATGTCTCTTTTTTGTGTTGCAGCTTTTTCCCTAATAGCCTCATATTCAGTAACTGGTTGCTTATGGGTCTGTAAAATGCAATAAAGAGGCCTTTAGAGTGGTTACCTGTGTGAAAACACAAATTATTATAATTATTGGTCTAGTGGTGGGGGCTAATATAGGTGAAGCCACTCTTACTTAGGAGCATTTAAGGGCACAATGGTGAATATGGGCATACGTCTATCATAAAATAATTGATTGTCCTTTATCATATTTTTTATTTTACTCACTGGAGTTCTTATATATGCATGAGGATCAGGAAGAGGTGGCAAATGAAATGGTATATGAGGTGCTAGTTTTGCTTTTGATCCTGCTGACAACATAGCTGGTGTCCTAGGTGATGGCGCCTGTTGTGGAGGCTGTATTACATGTCTATTTGGCCGGGCTGCATATTGTTCTATGTTGTGAAAATTTATACCTACAAATATAAAATATTAGAATTTTAGATTGAGATTTTTAAACATAAATTAAAAATAGGAAAATATAATTGACAAACCCATATTGATTAAAGCCATTACAATATCACTAAGAACTGGTTCAACCCTCCCAGATAGTTCACAATACCCTCTTGCTGCGTTACCAACTTCTGTTAAAACTGTAATAGTCAGAGAACATAAGTGTTTATGAGATTTAAATGTAATGCAATAATGCATAGGCGTATGTATATCGTAAAGGCAAAAGAAATGTGATGTGAAAACGTTTATATAATGTCACTTCTGTCTGATTTTTAATAAGCAGAAATGTAATAATTTTACTTGAACATTTTAAACGAATAACGCCACTCACAACACTGTAAGATTTCTGTTAAAGTTTCCAAAGACATTTTATCCGCAGCCTCAAAGCCTGTTTCTAAAAGTACTGTTGAAACTGCTATATTTAATATGCGCCTACGAGCATCAGAATTACTTTCTACTTTCTCTACGCTTTCCGCCATATCTTTTATTTGAACACTATTAATAATTGATAAACAATAAAATTTAACAATGAAACTTAGAATAACATTTATTTACTCTAACTCAATAACAATTATTAACTCTATCATATTTTGTCAATGTCAGTGTTAGAGATGTAAACCGGTTTGAAAAAACCGGTTTTTAATAGAAACTATTAAAACCGGTTTTTGTTTAAGAAAACCGGTTATATTGAAAGCAAAATATTGATCCATCTATCACTTAATACGACATCTTACGCTTAAACCAAGTACCATATAACAAACAGAGAACGGAAATCTACGACAAGTGAGTAAGCACTTCGCGCTAGATGTATTAGAAAGTATTTTTTTATATGTAATAAAGCATTTTAATTTAAACGGTGGTAGGGCCACGCAGAAGCCTCGGCTGTTGCACGAATGGGCAGGCCCGTCCGGGTAAGTACCACGACCTCACAGAAAACCAGCGTAAAGTGGAAGTATGACAAATACTTTCGCGTTTCGTCTGGTGAGTGAGGTAGCCGGAGCCCAATTTTCAAAAGGTTGTTAACGCATCTGTAACCCTCGGGTGTAGATGTCCATAGGCGGCGGTATTCACTTAACATCAAGTGAACCGTCTGCTCGTCTGCTCGTTTGACAACTTTTCGCATAAAAAAAGCATTTTAATTACAGCGACAATCCACAAGACCTACAAAACCCCTTTAAATGTCTATACTGGTTGCTGTTTCTCCCTTACCTGCGGTTTATGGGCATCATGACTTTAGTCCAATAAGCTCTTTTTACAAAGCTTAATAAAAAACCTTTAAAAACCTAAAAAAAAAACAGTTTTCTTTTTAAAGTAATCGGTATAAAACCGGTGTGTAAAATTGTAATCGGTTCACATCTCTGGTCAGTGTCACTTACATTGCTTGGATTCACTGACTAGTCAAAGAGAATGTAATCACTACGTGAGACTAGTGATAGTGACCATGACTACTAAGATGATATGCTTGGATTGGAACGGATTGGATTGTCGCTGGTTATTGATATTAGGGATGCCGAAAAAAAATTTTTTTTAAATATATCGATTTTTTGGCAGTTATATTTAGATCCCATATATCGATATAAAAATTTGAAATCGTATCAAAAACGATATTTTTATTCAAAGTGATTCAAAGCCGTACAAGATAAAAAAGAACGGAAAAAACTGTGGTCTATTACTAGTATTGTCGCTGATGCAGAGTTGCATTTTGTACTATAATTATGGTACTTGTACTAAAATTTGATGCTTCGTACTTCATACTATCCATTTCTTACGTACAACATGGTATAGAAGTGTTACAAATCATTAATATTGAACTACATATTATTTAAATTTATAAATAGCATGAAAAATATTAATGGCATCAACTAAAATTACTTTAATTTAATATGTAAATAAAGTTTACAAAAATTTAATTATAATCAAATTCTCAATAATTAAATGTCACAAAATGTGATATCGAGATTTCATAAAAAAAATATTTGACGTCTAAAAAATTATTATCATTTAATCACATAAGTAACTAGGCATGAGATATACCTGCAACATTCTATACCCGGCCTCAAAGGTACGGGTATCGCCGTATACCCGGTGCTAAAACCCAGTATCAAAATACCTATAGGTATTAGTTATGTTCAGGCCTCCTAATGGAGACCCGGTATGAAATTGAACCTTTATTTGGTTGGAATTGGAACATTTAGATGTTTTTTAGCAATCATTTTTTTTTAATTGAGATTTAATCAGTCTAAATAAGGCTCCATCTTTACCAACGTAAAACCCTATTATAAAAAAAAAGTAATTCAAAATAAATATTACTGTTTAATCTTATTACGCAATTATTTATATACCTAATTGTCATAGAAATAAAGAATAAATTTATCTTAAGGAAATATTTGGTATAAAATGCCTAAATCATACGTTTCAATTCGGGCATGATCGGAAAGAGCCGCCGTAAGCGTTCGGGGAACTTCGTACCTATTCGGCCGGCGGGTTGTCGCGAGCGTATATACCGCCACCGTCGGACGAGGCGGCCATAGCCATACCTATCGGGTATGGAACGGGCCTCTGCCGTACATACGTCATACCCGGTATGCGGGCGGGTTGTCGCGAGCATTATATACCGCGGCGGTATATACCGCCGGTATTACCGCCACCGTCGAACGAGGCGGCCATACCCAGCCATACCTATCGGGTATGGAACGGGCCTCTGCCGTACATACCCAGTGTGCGTACTGGCATGTTCATACTGGGTATTTATACCTGTTCCAGTATATACGCCTCATCCCTTTATGTAACTTCTTTAAATTGTCATTCAGCATTTTCATGTCAATCAAACAACTATTACTAAATTCTGTAGATCTAGGCCTATATTTTAGGACAAGTCTGCAAGTTTCTTTTTGACCCTTAATAACTTCGATTTAAACAATGCTTTATGTTTTTTTTACAAATTTACATGTTTTTTAATTAGTTATTTTTTCTGGCATCCCTATCTTAATTCATATTTCGACAATTGACATTTGGCTTCAAGGCAAAGACAAAGAACACTTTTACTCATAGAGTGCTTCAAGGACTTCTTACCAGGCCATAAAATATTTATAAAAAAAAAGAAATTGACATTTCTGTTTTTGTTTTGTTATGTACCTATATAATTAGCTATGATAACATTTTGATAGGTTTAAATAATTTCAGCCAGCACTCAGGATTTTTATTAACTATCATTGGATTGCTGGTCAACCTTCTTATTTCATCCCAAAAGGTCATTTCTATTAACTGGAAACGTATTCGAACTCGAAATGATAAAAAAAGTTGCTGTCGGCATATCTGGGGGAGTTGATAGTGCAGTTGCAGCACTCCTCCTAAAACGATCAGGTTATAATTTTTTTCTATTAGTATTTTTAAGTTGCTTTATCATTTTTGAATAATCTGTATGCTTATTATTTCAGGCTATCATGTCGAAGGAGTGTTCATGAGAAACTGGGACAGTAATTATGAAGCGGGGTTTTGTTCCGATGAAAAAGATTTTGAAGATGCTGCATTTGTCTGTCGTAAGCTTGATATTCAATTGCATAAGGTGTATTTTATTAAGGAGTATTGGAATGAGGTGTTCACCACATTATTAAAAGAATATGAATCAGGATTAACACCTAATCCAGATATACTTTGCAACCGCTGTATAAAATTTGATAGCTTTTTTGAACATTGCAGGAACAATTTAAAAATTGATGCAATAGCTACTGGTCATTATGCTAATACATCATTTGGACCGTTTCTAGAACATTATGAAGAAAATAAAGGTAACAACATATATTATGTTAAATATAATATAAAAATGCTTTTCTGAAAAATAATTGTAATAAAATTCTAGGTATTAGACTTTTACAACCTAAAGACAAGTTTAAGGACCAAACATTCTTTTTATCACAAGTAAAACAGTTTGCATTGAGGAAGTCTATGTTTCCATTAGCAAACATGTTAAAAACTACTGTGAGGGAAATAGCGAGAGATGAGGGCTTGCTGCGGGTTGCAAATAAAAAAGAGAGCACAGGAATGTGTTTTATAGGGAAAAGAAGATTTCAAGATTTCATAGAAGATGTTTGTATCTCTAATTTTAATTGTTAGTATTAATCAAACAAACAAATCAAGTATAATTATTTTTTAAAAATTTCATATTGCAGTTTATTCAACCAAAGAAAGGTCTATTCATAGATATTGATAAAGGACAGGTAGTAGGTGAGCATGGAGGCATACATAAATGGACAGTTGGACAAAGATGCTGCTTAGCTAGTTATAAACAACCATATTTTATATTTAAAAAGGATTTAGCTACCAACAATATATATGTGGTAAATTATATTTTATATTTTATAAATTATATTTATAATGACAAAGTGTTCAGTAACAACTAATTTAGGGTGTAACAGTTTTTATGCCTGTCTAACTGAGGTAACAGTCGTAAACATGACATAACAAATCTATATGACCTATGCAAGAAAAAGAAAGATCTTGTGACAGTGACAAAGTGTTCAGTAACAACTAATTTAGGGTGTAAAATTTGCATGGAACAGGAACTGTTATTTAATTTGTTCGTAACAGTTATTTAATTTGTTCGCAACAGTAGCCATTTACGATAAATACGCACCACTCCTACTTTAGAGTACCGTTTGTGTTGACACATTGCGAGGTATTTTATATTTAGAAAAAATTAACAAAATGCTTTGTAATACAATCTCTCTTAGATCTATAAATATGTATTGCATATATGCATATAAATATGTATTCCTTCAGTGTTATACACAATACATATTCATTATTTTCTCTTGTCCGTGGAATACTTGAAGTTTCGTAACAAGTAGGTACAAAATATGGTGACCTACAAATGTTCAAAACTAAATATCTCCTATTGTCGGATTTAAACAAAATTCTTTCTTGGTTAGAGGTAGTTTTGGTTCCAATATCCAGAGCCACATGAGTTGGCTGGATATTGAGTGTGAAAATATTATAATAATATTTTCAGGTTATATTTTCAGACATAGTTATGTCATCCTGAAATAAACAAAGCTGAGCAGTGCCCAAATTTACATAGGAGGTTGAGACTCGTTAGTATAATCGTTTATTGAAATTAAGCACATTATTTTTTTTTTCAAAAAAAAATATTCTATTCCCTAAAACCAGAATGTGTTGACAATGCGGTAGTTATTCATAAATACCTAAATTAGCACATTAAGTGCACGAACTTGTGTGCATGTTAGTTATGAATGATCGCGCGTAAAATAATTGAGTTGCGTATAAATAACGCACTTTTTGAGATAAGTTCAAATAAATGTAATCAATTACTTACAAGTGATTTTAAATATTTATAATTTTTTTAATAACATTATTTATGTCTGGAATTTAATAAAAAAAATGTATACACTTAGAAAAGCCATCCTGTATGTACTGTACTGGGTAATTGACAAACATACTTAACATACTTTTTTATTAACATTAACCAATAAAAATCCAGACACTAAAAACACTTTTTCTTCATATTTTAATGGGGTTTGAACTCAAATCCACTGGCGCAAGAAACAAGTTCACTATGCCAATCAGGTCAGATTTCAGGAGTGTCTCATAGCTGTCAAAGCACATGTAGAAAAAGATGCAAAATTGTATAATAGATCAATTTTATTCAGATTCCTTGTTTAATATTAATCAAAATAAATTGTCATGTGATATCAGTATCACTGTTGTATCTTTTTTGCATTTCAGTCTTTGAAAGTGAAGTGCTTTTGTAAATTGTAAGTGGTACTAATGGTTGATTGATTGAATGACATATAGCCTGTTCCATTCAATGATCATTTCCAAATGCATAAATTTGTAAAGACCTACATATTGCAAGTGTACATAAATTATACTCAACAACTTTTGTATCAAATACAATTATTAATTTCAGAAAACGATATATTATATATATCATTTACAGATCAATATTTTGTGACTTGTGCATAATTATGATTATATTAAACTTTTGAGCCATTTAAAAAACGCCAAAACAATTACTTAATTCATTAGCTTGTTTTATTTCAATGTTTATCATTTTCGATCAGGCATGATCTAATAGGAAGTAATTTTATTTTTTACAGGTGGCAGGTACCAAACATCCAGCCTTATGGAATAATTTATGTTTTACATTAAAACCACATTGGATTTACAATGAACCCCCTGAATTGCAGCAAAATGGTATACTACACTGTTATTTTAGATTTCAACATACAAAACCTTTAGTGCCATGTAGGATTGCTAAGAACTTGGAGGGATTAACTATCTTTTTAGAAAACAGATTAAGAGCTCTGACTGAAGGACAGTTTGGGGTTCTTTATAAAAACAATGAATGTCTTGGTAGTGCCAAAATAAGAAGTGTGTGTCATAATTTGTTATATTGATGTATGATCTCAATAAATGACTCATTTATTAGTGAGTATAATTTATTTATTTCCATTTACTGTCATGCAGGCATTTCATGCACTATTTAAGTCTTCTGTAATAATAATAATAATAATAATCATTTTCGCAATGGCTACGACCCAAATGGCCTAGTGGGTAGTGTAATTGCCTCCTGCGTCAGAGGTTGCGGGTTCGATCCCCACTACTGGAAAAATATTGTGTGATGAACATAGTTTTTCTAGGGTGTGGGTGATTATATATGTATACTATGTATTTATTTACATAAGAAAAGTATGTTTAAGTATGTCTATCAGTTATCTAGTACCGATAGTACAAGCATTGCTTAGTTTGGGACTAGAGAATGTTGTGTAAAAATGTGTCCTAAAATATATATTTTTTAAATGGATAGAAAGCCAAATAATCGGTAAAAAGTGTCATGATTGCAATAAATTGGAAGTAATGCATTCAGTTTGCTATTTTCCGAAAAAGGAAAGTTATTAAATTACCTGTGAGATTAAATGCACGGGTATTTCAGTCAGAAGAACAAAGTATTTTAATGCCAAGTGACCACAAACCTCTTTAACTGGACAACTTAACAATACTTACTTAACAAAAGTAACATAACAAACACAGGTGACACTGTTCTCAATAATTAACTAATATTTGACATACCCGGAAGAAGCAATGGAATGTAATGTTTTTCTAAACAGCAGGATATGATCACTCATATTATAAAATGTCTATAATTGTGTATGATCACTCATATTATAAAGTGATGTATGAAATATAATTCATGGCCCTAAAAGTTTTTGGACCTTAAAAAAGCCCAGTAGGTATATTTGCGCCCTAAATTTTGGGCTAAAAGCCCTAATTGGCCTGAAACAAACCTCGCGTCAAAATTTAAAACAAATGTCATGAAAAGTCTATATAAGTGTTGACAAAACTATTAATGCAGTGTTTCAAAAAAAGACAAAATGCAAGGTTTTCAGTTTAATAACTCTTTCCTTGGATACTAATCCCTTAGAAATTAATCTTTTGATAAATCGCTATGGATTATTTTCTAGCCGGCAAATGATTAAATTAAAATTATTTTAGTATTAAGTTCTAGTTCATGACTTCAAAAAATGTATTTAAATCATGTGTTTACAGATATGTTTTTAACGTGCCCGAAGTGAAGCCGCGAAAACGTCCTAATTGGGACGTCTTGTCTTTAGTTCACGAAAGGGCGGCGAGTAAGACGTGGTATCAAAAATTTTATACTAATAAAGAAGCGCCGTGTGTCTTCAAAAGATATACCAAGTACAAGTCTAAATTTAACAAAATTCAAGGGATTTAATATCGATGTTTATTGTCCATAGCCCAGCGTATATCATCGGATACTTTCAGTAAGGCACTGACTGTGCTGTGACCGGGACGAAAACCGGATTACAAAGGACTCAGCAAGCTAATGCGAAAACAGTAATTGAGATTGAGAGAGTTGCTTATGAAGTACTGTTTCTAAGACTTTGCATAGAGTAGGATGGATTTTTGGAAGAGGTATTACCAAAACCTTTTTACAAATAGATGGAAAAGAGGAAGTAATCAATGAAGATTTAATAACATGAGAAATGATAGGAAGACTTAAAGAATGGATTGCAATCGTACGTAATCAAAGATATGAATCTGATCCGATACATTAAAATGTTGAATCTAGAAAACTTTTTAAATTCATCTCACTTTTTGAACGTTCAATGCAAAATAAACTCTCCTATATTCATTGCCTAAATTTAATTAAAACTATAGTTGACTAATACACAAAAATGGATCTACTCCACTAATAAGTACGCATAAAGAGAGCTTTATGCGTACTTATGAGTATACTTTCTTTTTGTTTGAAAAAAGTTGTAAATTTTGAATAGTTTTGGAAAAATTTAATTGTATGTAAACGGTGCGTTACAGATCGATTTAAAATTAGCTCTTCTAATACGCAATTCTAATTCAATAATATAAATAACCCGATCGTAATGTCGGTGGCGCGAAAAAATCTAGTATTTTGTTATTGTTTCATGGTCACATTTCATAAAGACAATGAAAATGATGAAGCTATTTCTGCCACGAAAATTAAGCTTAAACAACTGATAACTTGAGGAACCGTGGTAAAAATAAAACACATTGGAACTTTTACTTCGCTAATGGCAAATTCCCTATATACAGCGTGTCGTAACCATGGCGACAATAAATGAGCACACGTCTAACGCTACTTGCCAATAATCATAAAAAAAATATTAACGTTAAACAAAATCCATAATTAAAAAAAACATATTTTTCAAACAAACTAATTAAGTAAAAAAGAAACAAAATTTGTAACATCCTACACAACTACAACTGACTGATTCATACATTCAGACAGAGACTTTTTCATTCGTTGCCACGGCGTCGCATTACAAGCCTCTCCTTCTAACAGTATGTTTTGTCTCTTTTAAATTCATTCAACCTATTCATATGCTTTGTGACCTTTACAAATGAACTTTACGTTGCAGTTTATACGTGTTCTAAAATTCTTTGTTTTGGAAAATTTTATAAATCTGTAAATATTGAAGTTTAAAGAATGTAAATATATAATACAATTTTAAAAAGTTATTGTCACGATTGTAAAGACACGCTGTATATTGTAAGAACCTGCAACTATTTCACTCGATGAAAATCGATAACGCAATTCTATTTCACGTTGGTTAAGGATTGCCCGACGACGGCTTAAAGGACGAAACTATTTTTAAGACGGCTCGTCTTATAACAGGTGCAACGATGACTGTTTTCTGCAACCGTTTCAATCGTCGGGACGACGCGGCTGCGTTGCATCTGTTAACAATTAGACAACGACCCATATCTACAATTAAATACTACAAATCTACAATAAATATTAATTGCTTCGATTTATAAAGGTAGTCAGAACAGAAACAGCCAGAAAGCATCCCAAAGAGTACTTTTATATATCTGAGAAGCATCCTCTCTGCTTTCTGGCAACTCACTGCACACTAAATGTCATATCATTGATTTCTAGCCTAGCCAGTGTCATATGTCATTTATCATATATTCATATGTCTTTCATTAGTTTTTGTTTGTTGGGATCTCTATTGTTTTGTCGTGCAGACATGAAATAACAACATGTTTTAAACAATTTAAGCAACAACTTCAATCATTTATTATGATCATTTTAAAATGTCAATACCGCCAGTAAATTATAATTTGCCTCCTCCTCCGCTTAATGTACCTCCACCGGTACCACCTCCGACCCTGCCGGTAATGCCACCTGTATACAATCACCCTCCACCATTTGGTGCATTTATACCGTCACAGAAGGTTACACCCTTTCTACCTTTGCAATCATTGCCACCTCTTAATGTTCCACCACCACCTGTTCCTTATTCTCTACCTTCCGCTGCGATTCTTCCTTCTTTTGCTACACCACAAAGTTATTCTTATCGGCAACAACGTTACTATAACTTGCTGCCTAAAAGTAGTGAAAACAGCTACAGCAAAACTGAAAGCACTGTTTCACCAAATACATCTGAACATAATACTACAGTGGAAAAAGGAAGATCTTCCATTGCTGATGAAAATAAAAAAATTCATCATAAAGAACAACATGAAAGTTCATCCCGATCATCTTCTGTATTAAGACATTCTAGAAGTGAATCAAATTATGACAGGGAAAGAAATTATGACAGGGAAAGAAGGCATGACAGAGATAGAAGTTACGAAAAAGAGAGAAAAGAAAGAGAATTTAGGGAAGCAAAATATAGGGAATTGAAATACTGTAGAGATAGTAGGAGTCCTTCAAGGCACAGTCATCGTGAACATTATAGAGATAGAGTAAGATATGATGATCGTCGTGAACATGACAGAAGACATGACTATAGGAAGTCACATAGTGAACATCGCCATAGAGATTATCAAAGTCACAGCCGTAGCCATGATTCCCGCGACAAGGCTGGGCGCCAAAGATCTCATAGTAGTTATAGTCGTCGCTCTCCTAGCAGGGATTCACATTCCCACAGTCGAACTCGTGAGCTGTCATCACATTCACAGCGTGAATCTGTCCCCCGTAAACCTTTGACAGACCGTGAAAAAATTTTAGAAGACTATAGGTAAAGTAACTTCGAACTTTTGCTTATGTTAATTAAATAGATTTTTATTTTGCGGAAAATTTTGAATTAATATGTGGAGTGTAATTAATTTAAAATTATCTTAAAACATATCTCCTAATAAGTTTCATGAGTTTTGAATTATTTTAATTAAGGGATGAATAAGGGATATTATATTGTGTAGTTCATCAACCATTATTTTCTTTTTGCAAAAACATGTATTCTTTCTGTAATTACAGGAAAAACTATTGTGAAACTTCTGGTGATTTTATAAGAAAAATAGAGGAATGGTCCAGGGAACACAATTCTGATGAAGATGAGGTATATATATTCTTGGAAAAAAAGGCTTGTAAAACTTTTAACACCAGTAATGAATTCTACTTATTACATTTTAGACACCAAAAATGTGGTACAGAAGTTCCCCAGCTGAACTCTACTATAAACCAGTGGAAGGAGGAGCAGGAGTTATGCAAACCAATAAACTAGAGAAACGCTGCAGTGTTTTCTTTAAAAATCTAATAGAAAGAGGAAGAAATGCCAGGCCTGAGGTGGATGAACTGCCTCCTTTAAAACCATCCAAAATAAAAATATGCAAACATAGATGTGAGTAGCACAATTATGACAATTCATTTTATCATCTCTTTTACTAAAACAGCAATGTAACCAAAAGAAAGAGTAGAAGAAGCCATGCGACCTATCTAAAGAAAAAATAATAAAATAATATAAAAAATAATATCTATTGAATAAATATTTTTTAGTCCATATATGCTGCTTTATTGATATTGCATGAAGTGTCCTCAAGCAATTGGAAAGATGCAATGATTAAATGAACATCAATAAATTTAACATTATACAAACTAAATGTACTTGTTGCCTATGTTTAAAAAAAATGTTTTTATATTTGTTGTATGTAACATTTTTCAGTGTTAGAACTTTTTTTATTTGGAATTAAACCACAATATGTTATAAAGAAATCATTTATTTTAATTTTTAGTGGAAGAAAGAAGCTCATCATCATCAGAGAGTGATGAATGCTTAGATGATGATGGTTTACAAGGATACACAGACAGAATAATGCTTGAACTTCAAAGGAAACAGAGTCATCCAAGGCGCCTTCATCCCGAGATGTGGTAAAATTATTATTTTCTCTTGAACTTGTCTGTACTGTACTGTTTCTTTTCCAATTTCTAATTCCTTCACTTTACTCTCTATTAATGATACATTATTTGAGCTTACCTCAGAAAATAACCATATATATATATATATATATATATATATGGTTATTTTCTATATATGGTTATTATATATATATATATATATTATGACCAGCTTTAATTGTTTTCATTAATAAAAATATGAGTGTCTTTTAATTTTCAAATCCTTTTGCTATGATCTGGATCAATTATCCACCATAGATCCATTATTTCTTGACAGTTAACTTTATTGCTGTCTGAATTTGCTTAGGTTCAACAATACTGGGGAAATGAATGGTGGTCCATTATGCCGCTGTAGTGCAAGGGCACGCCGATGTGGTATGCGGCATGGTGTTTATGCAGGAGAAGAAACATTCCCCAAGTGCATACCAACACAGAGTAACATTGACAAGCTCTACCATTACAGGTAAGGTTATTTGGGAATTTTACTAAATGCCGAAATGAATGTATTTAATGTTATATTGTTCATTATAAAATACCTTCTAAGAATTTTTTATAGTAGGGGGCACCTCACTTTGTGTGAAAACTCATCAAACAAAGTAAAGTGAAGTCTCAGCACTGTATGCCAAGAGGGACTTTACACATTGTTTCTCCTCGATTACTAATCAATCATCCTTCGGGCCATTCAAATAAAATTAAAGATTCTGCTTCTGAATGGAATGGTTACATGCAGCTCTTCATGTAAATGTAGTATGTTTGTGTCATACACACAAATTTGGGAACACCCGAGAAGTTGCAGAGGCATTGCCAAACTTTCAGAAAGTAAAAAGGCCCCAGTTACCTCACTCACCAGACAGAACTCGAAAGTATAATACTTTCTCCTTATGCCGGTCTTAACAGACGCCATGGTACTTTACTGGATAAGCTTGCCCATTTGTGCGAAAGCTGCTGCATGGTCCTACTATAGGAATGCAATATGCTTTGATATTATTCCAAAAATTTCAATAAAATTGATATGAATTTGCCAACTTCATCTTTCGGCCTTACTTTTAGTGTTTTTGTCCGTAGTGATTGAAATTCATGAATTACTTTATATGGATTTTGTCTGCAAAGGTTCGAAAGTTAGTTAAATTGTACTTTCTTTTTTTAGAATTACAGTTTCCCCACCAACAAACTTTTTGATAAAGGCGCCGACGATAATAGCTCATGATGAACACGAATTTCTTTTCTCCGGCTTCTCCATGTTTTCTCACTATAAATTGGCAAAGCTACCTACATGCAAAGTCATAAGGTTCAATATCGAGTACACTATTTTATATGTGGAAGAACCTGCTCCTCAAAATTTCTCAATACAGGAATTGGACTTATTTGGTAAGTGTTCAAGATAATTGTTACTATAAATATGGCAGTGGTATAAATTCAAAATGCTAATTCATATCTAACACTATCAGTATTGTTGGGCAATTCATAAACCACACATTTAATGCATATTATTCTTAACAGTTTGAAGGACTAAGTTTACTCCAACAATTTAATCCTCTCAAAAAACTGCTGTCCCGTACAGATCTTTCACTTGACGCTGCACATCCTGAAAGTCCTAAATCGTCCAAAACACATAATAAGTATGGCGCGCTCTTCTTAGATGTAGCAAAGACATTCGAGAAGGTCAGCCAAAATGGCTTTACGGCTGTTTGCAATTAATATACCAGATAGACACGTACACCATCCATGCCCTCCTACCGAATCGCTCGTTTTCGATGCCGAGTTGAGGGTATTTCCTCTACGAGCCGATCCTAAGGGCGGGTGTTCTTCAAGGCGTTACCCTCTCTCCCTTGCTCTTTTCGCTCGCCACCAAAGCGTCGCTAATCAACTGGGTGACTCCCGTCGTAATTGACATCGTTGGTTGGAGGGGGTTATCAAGATCTGGGTTCTGGCTAGCCTACGAGTTTTGCTTTCGATGAATTTTTAATAGACTGACTTGTACAGACTGAAAGCAAAACATCAGTTCACAAATAGTTGAGTGAAGAATAAGTAAAGTATAAACCATGTAAAGAAAAAGTGCTAAGGCATCCTGTATACAGCGGGTATTCCACCACGCGACGTTCCTGCGGCAGACTTCACATAATATGTCCGAAATAATTATTATATATAGAAATTTTTGTTATCCTTCCTTTTTGCATGTTTTCCTTCACTGCAGAGCATGTGATAAGTCAGCATTTAAAATTAACAATTTCATTGGTGCTGGCACTGGTATTTGAACTCAGCTTGCTCGAGTTTAATGTATTAAAAGCGAGCTCCCGGACATTGAATTATCAAATAAGTTCAATAATAACTAAATGAATTTGCTCACCAGACATAACCGTTTAGGAACTTAACAACTAATATAAACCTACAAGGAGTAGGTTTATATTAGTTTCTGTCCCGTGAATGTATATAATGTAAAGAATTCGAAAGGTTTAGATTTCAATTAAACAACAGAAAAATAATTGATGTAAATATTAAAAAATTATGATTTTGATGACCACTGTTTTTTGTACCATTGTATGATAAATCTTCGCTTCTACTTAAACAAAACACTTGCAGAAGAATATCTGTTCTACGAACTGCTTGAGCTGGTGGACTTGGATCTGGGTAAAGCGACGGAAACTTCGTGTTCGCAGTTCCATTTCATGCCGAGGTTTGTGCGCTACCTACCGGAAGGCGGATGCGAGGTATTTGATTCATTCAACATTTTTAAATCTTAAAAAAATAACCCAATTTAAATGTCCGTCGTCAATACTTGTTATTGAAACTTTAATCTTATGATTGTTTTGTAATATCGAGTTTGTATTAAACATTGAGCGGACTGAAGCGTGAAGATCAAGACCGAACGGAATGGCGACGCACTGTGGGAGCCATCCCCATCTAGGGGAAACAGGACCATAAGTCATTAAATATTGCGTGAATTTACTTTAAGGTTTTGTCAATGTGCGAGGTGATGAAATACCTCATAGACGAAAGTGGTTTACTAACACCACCAGAGACTTTGGAGGAAGTGCACAATATGGACCATTATCGATGGCAGAAATTCGTCGACAGAATCAAAGGTAAAACATTATTTCACACTGCTTCAACTTTAACGTGATGTGAAGTGTATCAAGTGTTTCGAACAGCAAGCAGACAGTACTAGAATCCTTATACTAGTACTAGAATATAAACTATGATCCTGTATATATACTATTAAATAGAAATATAATAGACAAAGTTATGGTATGATTGGTTTCGGCCCTTTATTGCCATTGCGATTTCAACTATTGAAACCTTTGTATAACATCTGCAGAGGTAGAGCCAAGCATCATACTGTTACACGAATGGGCAGGCTCGTTCGGGATACTACCACCATCCTACAGAAGAAGTGAAATAACTCGGCGTGAAGTCAAAGAATTATACTTTTGCGTTTCTTCTGTTGGTGGCTCGGGCGGCTTTATTAAAAGGTGGCAATGCATCTGCAACTCTACGGGTGTTGCAAACGCACATGGGCAGCGGATATCGCTTAACATCAGGTGACGTTTCAATTGATGTTAGGTGATATCCGTCAGCTCGCTTGCCAAATGCTCACATAAAAAAAACCATGAGATACTACTATTCATCTTTATACTCCATACATGCAAAACACACATTCGGCTGTCACTGTATGCACCATAGGGATTACTATAAGTGTACTTTTGTGTTTAAAGGCATGATTGTGACTTATCCCGGTAAGAAGCCGTGTTCGGTGCGAGTCGACCAGTTGGACCGGAGTCCGCCCGTAAACTCTGCCGATTCCAAAGACCCAAAGGAGACGAAAGCTTACTATCCAGAGATCGTCCATTTCGGCATCAGGCCCCCGCAGCTCAGCTATGCAGGGAATCCCGAGTGAGGATAATTTTATTTAATATTCATTTTAAACAGAAAGGTTCGGTAATAGGTCACAAACCACAATATAGATACCCACTTAAAACTTAACATTCACTACTTAATCCTAAAGTTATCTTTTTATAATAATCCAAAGATTTTATGTATGCATGGAATATGCAACGAAAGCACGTTATTTATAGTACCTGGAGGACCGAGCTTTGCTCGGTTTTTTTTTGGTAAATCTAAACTAAAAAATAAACAATAAAGAAAGCAATGATCTGAAATCGAAAAAAAAGTAAAAAAAAAAGTGTGTAAATGATCGTGATACGAACCGCCGTTTGTTTTGGGGCCGCCCGATTACCGACCGAGCTATTATCACTTTTTTTTTGCGGCTAAATTTACCGTCATATTCGAATGATATTTTTAATTCCCTGAAAACAGGGATAGAAGGACATTTTCTAAAAATGAAACCTAGCTAGCGCCCCCGAATCTACTAAATTTCATGAAAATCGCTGGAGCCGCTATATATACGCTATATACAGCATGTCGTTACCAACGCGACAATAAATGAACACACATATAGGAGATAACTTTTTAAAGTTGTATTAAACATTTAAATTCTTTAAACATCAATATTTACAGAGTTATTAAATTTTCCAAAACAAAGAATTTTAGAAAACCCTTACCTATAAAAGCGTAACGTAAAGTTCATTTGTAAAGGTCACAAAGCATATGAATGGGTTGAATGAATTTAAAAGAGACAAAACATACGGTTAGAAGGAGAGGCTTATAATACGACGCTGTGGCGCGAGTTGTATAGGGTGTTACAAATTTTGTTTCTTTTTTACTTAATTAGTTTGTTTGAAAAATATTTTTTTTTATTATGGATTTTGTTTAACGTTTTATATTTTTTTTTTATTGGCAAGTGGACGTGTTTTGTTTATTGTCGCGATGGTAACGACACGCTGTATAAGGCTGTATATATATATATATACAATAAATATATATATATATATATATTCTTATATATATATATACAAGAATTGGTCGTTAGAGGATAAGATATATATATGAAAAAAGGTTATAAATGGTAAGAACTACTTACAATATGGTAATAAATGAAATAAGAAGTAAAATTTAATAAGATCAAGTTACATTTAAGTCTGTTTTTCAATCTCATTTTATTCTACTTAAATTATGTACGTATACGAATATGTAACAAGTACTTAAATGACGTACGTATCTGTGTTTAATCAGTGATTAATAAAAATAACTGGAGTCGTTTATCAATTTACATGGTCATGACTAAAAAAAAAAGGTAAATTGATGTGAAGTCATAGACCTAAACATTCATATTGCCAGGTACCAGAAGGCGTGGCGGTACTACGTGAAGTATCGGCACCTGATCGCCAACATGGCGAAGCCCTCGTTCAAGGAGCGGCAGAAGCTCGCTGCCAAGGAGGCCAAGCTGCAGGAGATGAGGACGCAGAGCAAGATGAAGCGTGACGTCACCGTCGCCATATCGTCGGAGGGCTTCCACACCACGGGCCTCATGTGCGACGTGGTCCAAGTGAGAACGGAACAGTCTTGGCTGAAGTAGCCGTCCGCGCGTTTTCTAAAGCCGCTTAGAAGCGGTGCCAACGATTCGAATCATTATTATAGTTTAACATCTTGGGATTTGTCCATACAGACTATTCGTAATTAGTTACACCGTCATTTGTCCAATAAGCACCAACTCCAATTTGAGTACAATGGCTCCATCTACGAGAACTTGATTGTTTGGTTAACGCCATCGCGTTAGTCTTTCCAAAGACTTGCCAAGTCACTTCCAAGTGACTTGACAGCTACTTATTTTAATTGCGGCAACACCGGTCAGTGCTTTTAAAGATGGGCTTGCACCGCGTTCCTCTTTTGAAAATTTTCTTATATGGGCGTATTCGCCATTTGTGTGAACTTTGGAAATTGTAATTCGTTAATCAACACTAAATCCACTTGCGTCCAATGTCAAATCTGTTAAGTAAAGCATCCGACATTTTTGGGTTGCTTTTTTTATGTAAATTTTTTACGTTTCTTAATAATGCAAGCTTAATTATAGGAGAGCTACCAAAAATGTGTTATCTGATATTTATATTATAATCTGTGTCAAGTTTTAGTCATTACGAATAACTATTGGACAACAGCACGCGATGCTGATACCGGTGCTAGTGCGCCACCTGCGCTTCCACAAGTCGCTGGACAGTTTGGAGAAGAAGATGGGCTACGTGTTCAAGAAGCGGCTGCTGCTGCAGACAGCTCTGACGCACCCCTCGTATAGAGAGAACTTCGGCACGAACCCCGACCACGCCAGGAACAGCCTCACCAACTGCGGCATCAGGCAGCCGGAGTACGGCGACCGAAGGATCCACTACACGAGGAAGAAGGGTGAGCGGTTGATTATTTCAATTTAACTAATGTTTTTCCCTTAAGTCCGTCAGATTTTTTGTTGACAACCTGTTGATAATTGGGTTCCGGCCACCTCGCTCACCAGACGAAACGCGAAAATATTACACTTCCACTTCACGCCGGTCTTCTGTGAAGGTCGTGGTACTTACCCGGAACAGCCTGCCCATTGGCGCAACAGGAGTGGTACCGCATCTGCAGCCGTACGGATGTTGAAAGTGACAATGGTTCCCTGTTCCAGGCATTGTGACCCTAATAAATATAATGTCGCGCTTCGGCAAGCGCAGCGAGACGGAATCGGAGATAAAGCACAACGAGCGTCTTGAGTTCCTGGGCGACGCCGTGGTCGAGTTCATATCGTCCATCCACCTGTTCCGCATGTTCCCCGGCCTAGCAGAAGGCGGGCTGGCCACGTACAGGGCCTCAATAGTCCAGAATCAGCACCTCGCCCAACTAGCCAAGGTGCGACATCACTCGAAATTTGCTTTGCAAATTTCTCGTCCATTTGTGATTTTGCTTGTCATGTTAACAATGTCGCGGTAAACCAAATAATCAGTACCTATATTCGATATGAATATTCAAGTTATAAGAAATATAAAGTTCTTATTGGCTCTTTATTTATAATTAGTAATATTTTAATTAATTTGTATTCAGTTTACCACCAAACCACTTCAGTTTACGTGATTTAGTTATGGTTGTGTGATAATACATGGTGATTCGTGTTCTTTTTGTGTGCAGAACATCGAATTGGAGCAGTTCATGTTGTACGCCCACGGCTCCGACCTCTGCCGCGAGGTGGTTATGCGCCACGCGATGGCCAATTGCTTCGAGGCGCTAATGGGCGCGCTATTCCTTGACGCCGGACTTGAGGTGGGCCGTAATCACCATTACCACAATCAATATTGTCACAATCAGAATCGTCATAATCACCATCAAAACAATCACAACAATCACTATTATCGCAATCATCATCCAAACACACCATTACTACAATCACCATTATCACAATCATCGTGAACAACAATAACCACCACTACTACAATTGATATAACCACCATAACACTTACATTAAGGTAAAGGTAATTTTGGGAATTACGCACTTTATATAGCCTTTTTATAGATGATCTTGATTGCTCGATCAATATCCGTTCATGATTTAAGCCTCTGTTGCTTTTTCATACCTTTTTTTTACCGGGAGTCACTGAGGCAGCACGTCTTCATATTATGCATAATATAGTGAAAATATTTAAAATATTCGCACAGGTAACGGATAAAGTGTTCGCTTTAGCACTTTGGTACAACGAGCCAGAATTGCTGGAGGTATGGTCAAAGGAACGCTTGCATCCACTCCAAGAACAGGAGCCACTTGGCGATAGGAAGTATATAAAGGACTTTGAATTTCTACAAAAACTGACCGACTTTGAAGAATCTATAGGTACGTATGTATATTGCTTTATAATTCCTATAGAGTGATTGGTTTAAAATTAATAGTTTCAGTATTCAGAATTCAGAATTAATATTACGGGACAGTTTTTTATATAGAATATATATATATAGTAGATACATAATAGATATAAAATATTATATATAATACATAGCGCTTTCATTTTATCACCTCTGCTATTCTACTTTAATACTTGTTACAGGCTAAATTAGCTCTACCCTACAATTCTATGTGGCCTGTTATTAGTACCACTCCAACTGTTACTGTTTGTTATTATCAGAAAGTTCTTATGAAAGAAAAAATTTAAAAAATTGCCTGAAAAAGTATATATTTGGCCAATAACGAGTCGGACTCGCGCGCGATGGGTTCCGTACCATTATACATAAAAACGGCACTTAAATAAATTATTCTGTTTTTTAGTATTTTTTGTTATGACGGCAACAGAAACACATCATCTGTGAAAATTTCAACAGTCCAACTATCACGGTGCACGAGATACAGCCTGGTGAGAAACGAACAGACAGACAGCGCGGTCTTAGCAATAGGTCCCGCCTTTTTTCGGGTCCCACGGACTTCTACCTGATATCGATCCCGGCCATTGCCAGGGTCCGCCATAAAATAGGCCAACGGCGACCGTAATCCGTTGTCGCCAGCGGTATTTCCAGACCGATACGACTTAGGGACCTTCAAGAAGAGAACCTATTCCTACCTTTGCAATTACAACGCAATTGCGACTCAACCGATGTTGCAAATGTGTTGGCTGGCTGCGGTGATCGCTTATCACCAGGTGACCCGCATGCTCGTTTGCCTCCTATTCCCATTAAAAAAAAAATCCTTAAACAAACGACCCGCGTAAATCTTCAGGCGTGCAGTTCAAGCACATCCGTCTGCTGGCGCGCGCGTTCACCGACCGCTCTGTGGGCTTCACGCACCTCACGCTCGGCTCCAACCAGCGGCTGGAGTTCCTCGGCGACACGGTGCTGCAGCTGGTCGTCTCCGACCGGCTCTACCGCCACTTCCCGGACCACCACGAGGGCCATCTGTCGGTGGGTAGCGGAAACCGCGCGCAGTGTTCCCCCTTGCTTTTGTAACGGGACTTTTTTTCAGTGCTGGGCAATTAATTTCCGTTGAACATTCTCTATTGCTTTTGTATCGAGACTTTTTTTCAGCACTGGTCAATTAATTTCCGTTGATGCCGATAGTTATTTTTATTTTGCACATGGATGCGATTTAGTCGCTCGAAACTGTTAAATGCAACACTGTACATTCGTGCCTGTACATTCCAACAGCAAATACTGTTGCATGGTACACACCATACATGGTACCACAGTAATTTATTTTATAATTAAATAAATTTATTAATTTTAGTTAAATTGTATTTTGAAGCTACTTCATCTGCCTGACTGACTGATAAAGTATTCCTTTACACAAATTTAAATTTAATTTTTTATTTTTATTATTTTTTATTATTTAATTTAAATCCGCTTTTTGTGATGTTCAATTAGGAAATACAATAGAGATTAAATAACTGAATAAATCTAGCATTTCAACTATAATTCAATTTTATTAATTGTTTTCCAGTTGCTTCGCTCTTCGTTGGTGAACAAACGCACCCAGGCTATGGTGTGCGATGACCTGAACATGTCAACGTATGCGATTTACAACAACCCAAAGGCGAAACCCACTACGAAGAAACACAAAGCCGACTTATTGGAAGCCTTCCTCGGCGCTTTATTCATCGACAAGGTACTAGTGAACGTACGTGATTGATATAGCGAAGTTATGAATTGTGATTTGTCATATTTTAAATGAATATTTATAGAAGCCTCGAATATTGTTTTTTCGAGGCGGCAAAAAGCAGGCGTCTTATAAACTGATCTGTTGAGATGTGTATGATAAGATAGAAAGAAATATTATATGCAAATTAATCAAGATAGGCTACCACAAATACTGTAAAGTTATCTATACCGTAAAGTTTGATACATCTGCCGTTAGATTAAAATTAATCGGGAGAGAAAGTATAAAAAAACGGGCTAAGTGCGAGTCGGACGCACACGAAGGGTTCCATACCATTATTCATAAAAACGGCAAAAAAATCTTGTCTGTTATATCAGGAGCCCCACTCCAAATATTTTTTATTCTGTTTTTTAGTATTTGTTGTTATTGCGGCAACAGAAATACATCATCTGTGAAAATTTCAACTGTCTTACTATCACGGCTTATAAGCCTGGTGACAGAGAGAAAGACAGACAGACAGTGGAGTCTTAGTAATAGGGTCCCGTTTTACCCTTTGGGTAAAAACATTTAAACAACAAGTAAGTTCTATTAATTACGATCTGAAATTATTGATAAATTGCAGAATCTTGAGTACTGCCAGGCGTTCTGCAACGCCTGCGTGTTCCCAAGACTGCAGGAGTTCATCCTGAATCAGGACTGGAACGATCCAAAGTCAAAGCTGCAGCAGTGTTGCTTGACCTTAAGGTCTATGGAGGGAGGCGAGCCAGATATACCTTTATATAAGTATGCATCTGTAATACGTTACAGTTTCGTACGGTAAGAATGAATTTAATTGAGAGCTTGTCCAAGCGTCTTGTGAGTTGAAGTTATGTATTTATTAAATAAAGTAACAATCACCTAAATGATTACTGCAATCAGTGAACATCGAAAACACTCGTAGTGAGGGCCCAGGTTACCTCACTTACCGGGCCAAATGCAAAGTTTGAACACTTTCACTTTCTATCAATGTTTTAAAGCCGGTAAAGTGGTACTTCCTTTGACAAGCCAGCATTCGCGTGATAGGTAGAATGTTTTATTTAACTCTTTTAATTTCCGATGTTTTCAAAACATCTTATTTCCGTGATTGTGAAAGGTCGGAAATTTTAAGTTAAATCAACCTTCAAATTGAGTTCTTCTTTTGATGATGATTTGGGAAGAATAAGATCTTCCCAAATCATCATCAAATTGGGATTTGGGAAGATTTTATTCGAACCATTAAGATGGTCATCTTTGATTTCTCTTGGTGGCCCAAGGGCTGCACAGTGTCGTTCAAATAATTTATTTAGTTTGAAAAGATGATACAATTACAAACGTTCCGAAGAAAGACTTCAAAGAAGTTCTTTATCTACACAAAATTACATAATTTATCTTATTCCACTTGAGCAGATGTCATGCTAACTGGCGGTTGACCCGATGTTAAGTGATAACCGCTACCTATGGACAAATGCCACCTTATAATAAAGTGGGCTCCGGCCACCTCATTCGCCAGAGGAAAGGCACAAGTGTTCCTTCCACTTCTCGCCGGTCCTCTGTGATAGTCGTTATACCTCAAATGGAGCTTCCCATTGGCGCAACAGCGAAGATTGCTGTGTGACTCTACCACGGAGCCCCAAAGCCCATACAATATATTAAAAAAAATCTCTAATTCATATATTTTTTTATGTGAGAAGGTGGCAAGTGAACTGATGTTAAGTGATAACTGCCGCCCACGGATATAACAACACCCAAATGCGTTGCCACCTTACAATAAAGTCGGCCACGGTTGCCTCACTGGCCAGACGAAACGCACAAGTGTGGCACTTCCACCCCAAGCCGGTCCTCCGCGAGGTCGTGCTAATACCGTGCTGCAGAAAAGAGTGGCTCGTGGCCCCACCACGGTTTCTAAGGGTAGTGGGTGGTCGACAGGGTGATCGAGTGCTTGGGCCCGACGAACACGCGCGTCTACACGGTGGGCGTGTACTTCCGCGGCACGCGGCTGGCCGCCGCCAGGGGCCACTCCATCCAGGAGGCGGAGATGAACGCCGCCGAGCTGGCGCTGCACTCCGCGCACGGTAACGCACACTTTTTTAATTATTGCGATAATTATACGCTGCCAGTGTCAAATTGTTTTAAATTATTGCGATACTTATTCTGCCAGTGTCAAATTGTTTTAAATTATTGCGATACTTATGCTGCCAGTGTTAAATTGTTTTAAATTATTGCCATATTTATGCTGCCAGTGTTAAATTGCTTTTCAATGGAGATGTTTCATTTTCGGCTATGAACTGTATGACCCTGACAGCAGTCATGGAAAAATATTATTTCGTAATTTTAATTTCACAAACTACAATTAAAAATATTTTTTCGATTGTTGCCATTCAACACAAAATAGCTGACATTTTGGTTTACCGCGTGGTCGCAATTTCGTACGTTAAGATATAAGACATATTTATTCTATTTAATATATTGATTTGATTTTGTCACTTAAAAAAAATTATATTACCTTTTATTGAATTATTGAGACATTTTACAGATCATTCCGTTTTGACATTAGTCGTTTCTATGTGTCTATAGCTTATTGTGTTATATGTGTATATAGCTTGCCTATTCGTGCAACTGCACAGGCAAATAATGCATGAAAAAAAAATAATGCATGTTTTTATCATACGTTGTTGATTGCGTAAAAGTTACTCATCTGATTTATGAACTTGTTATATATAATTTTTACGAAAAAAGTCAAACAATTCATATTTTAAAATAAGCTTTTAATATACTCTAAATTATAAACTTAATGTAAGCGGAATCTGTTTACGGGAATCTGTTCATTTTCAAAACTTTCTGAAGAGTACAAGCTATGGCCATATACAAAAATGAAACAACTCCTTTTTTTTCTTAACGTACACAGTCAACATCATAAATTTGCGTTTCAACCTAAGCACACAAGTAGAAACTGAGTGTACCTCGCTTCTTTTCGTCCCATCAATCACCATCGCATATCCCTCCGACCGCGTTGCGCACAATTCCACCTTCCGAGTTCCTCGTAAAGGAGACATAACCCGCAGAACTGTTCCCGCAACTGGACCACCAGAAGCGCGTGATCGCGAAGAGCGTGAAGAAGAAGAGGAGCCGGCGCCGGGAGGGGCGGGGCGGGGCGGCGGCCTCGGCGGGCGCGAGCTCGGCGCGGAGCCGCCTCGAGGAGAGGGTCCCCAAGGCGTACCGGCTCAACAGGGCCAGCTCGGACGAGAGCAGCGCCGGGGCGGAGCGCTCTGAGAGCGAGCCCGCCGCCGGCGAGCGGTCCGACGACGACTCGGGCCTGGTCAGCGACACGGACTCGCTGGGCGCGCCCCGCGAGCGCCTCGAGCACCACGTGCGCGCGGGCAGCCTGCTCAGCGAGATGGAGCGCACCAGGGAGCGGCTCATCGAGCGCAACGAGTACGAGCGGCTCAAGGAGCGGTGCCGCGGCTCGGGCTCGGACGACGACTGACCTCGGGCGGGAAGAGGAGGGAGGGGGGGGGGGGCGAGTAGTTATATCGAGATGAGCCGCATTCCTCTAGTGAGCGCCTCCCAGGGAAGGAGGAGGGGGGAGGTCGGAGGTTTGCTAGTTTTGTCGAGATAAACGAGCCAATTCTCTTATGCGGATAGCCCCCTCCTTAACTGGATGTTTAGTAGAAGTCAGATGGTTTATAACATTGTATGAATTGAAAATAACTTCAATAATCATTTAATTGAATTCATTCCCCGTGTAGTTTTCTCGAAGCTCTCACGAGTGTAATTTCATTGTAGATGTAAATACTTTCCAATTTTACATTTTTGATACGAACAAGTTTAAAAATTATTATTGGCATGTAGAAGAAACGCTATCATTTTATCGTAAAGCTCTGCCATATTTGATTCTTGAAATTATATTTAACTTACCTCTGGTGAGGTCTTGGAACCATTTTAAAGGAAATTTAGTACTTTTATTGATATTAAAAACTGCTCTATTCATTAGATTGAGATTATGAAAATTGACAAAAAACTTGTAATAATTGGTATCTAATTAAATCTGTGTTATGGACTTTTGGCTACCTATATTTTTTGAACATGTTCAACCTTCCACGTTAATTAAAAAAAATCACAAATTTTCCGAAATCGATATAAATGGATTCGCATGTCAGTAGTGTAGAAGTAGCGGATATTTTTTATGGTTATTCATTTAATATCAAATCTATGTTAAAAATTTTTCGACTATATTTGAGTAAAATAAAGAATTTGTTATCGTTTTATTTTTTTATTTAAAATAACATTGCCCTTAATTTACAACTGCGCCACGAATTCATCAATGTTCATCAGGAATTATTTAAAACGCGAATTACAGTAATAAGGAGGAAGAAAACATTTTGTGTTAAAACAGATTTATGTTTGAGGATTTTTTAATGCTTTCAGGATTAACATGTTCTCATATTATATGTTTTATGTAGTGATTGTACTTATACAACTCGCTCAGGGAACACTACATGAATAAGGACATTAAGATAACCTGAGCCTAATGGAACACTAATTAACTAGCTTAAAGAAGTTGTTCCGCGAAGCTACTGAACCTTCACTAGTTGGAGAGCACCTTAAGTAGAAAGGAAAAATTACCATTCAACTTAGCGAGTAAAATGAATCGAAAACTGCAAAGACACGACCTTGCGTGGTAAGCTATGGTCGGAAAACTGGTTCAAAGTTTGGCTATATATTTCAGTGATCATCGAAAACGATATTACATTTGGTTTTTTTTAATATAAAACTTAGCAACACAGCGTAAAAGCAAGCGGCCCCTTTAGGTTCTTCGCTCGGAGAGTTAACCATTGCTTTTGGTTGGGCACGTACATTTCTGCAGGCATCAGTTGTTCCGCTGAGTCGTTTTCTGCAAACATTTAAATAAACACATGGTTTTCAATTTTATTTAAAAGTGACGGTTTCTTCGTGTTTCGAATATTAGATGATTATTTTTTTATGGATAAAAACCTATCAAAAGAATGCATCCACAAGTTCGCTCTAGTTCATCGTCACTAATAAAAGAGTTGATTTAAAAATGCAGTGATTGGTTTTCCTGAACGCTCCAAAAAGTAGCTATAAGTTCAAAGGAGCTCACCATCCTTGCGCACGTATTTCGCAGACTGCGTCGTTGACTCTTGCATGGATATCAAATCTCCGGGAGCATGAAGCAAGAGCCTGCCCACCCCTTCGCAACGCCTGCAAATATAATCACTACATAGTATAAAACAAAGTCGTCCCCCTGTCTGTCTGTCCTTATGTATGCTTAGATCTTTAAAACTACGCAACGAATCTTGATGCGGTTGTTTTTACTAGATAATACATTGCACCCGTGCGAAGCCTGGCCGGGTCGCTAGTTATGAATAAATTTGTTCTTCAGTTATCGGTATCTAGTATTTTTTCGGTATTTAAGATAACTGATAAACATAATAAAAAATACTTTATTTTGTAAATAAATAAAAACATAATTTATCATAGTAATATGGAACAAACCTGACGCGAGAGGATGTGAATCAACGAGATGATTGATATTTATAAATATATAAACTTGAAACAGTTTTACTATTTTAGTTGTTTCTAAAGCAATATAACACAATCAAAGATACGACACAAAGTAATTGAATAAATAAATCCATCACCTCAAAACTTCATTCTGTAACATTTGTTTCCTAGTGCCGTTGCTGAGTTCCCTGCAATCATTAAGCCAATTCCGTACTTCGTTGAAATCGGTCAAAAGTTGCATCGCTGCATCTTTACTGCAAATAAAATGTAAAAACCTAATTATTTCTGTTGAAAAATTAAACAATGATGAAATCTCTTGGTGATTATTTCTTAATTATGCAATATTGTGTACTACAAAAACATAATATAGGTACTTGTAATGTGTTTTCTTTAAAGAATAAGATACGTGATCGAAAAACAAGATATTAAGGTAAACTTTCCAATGTATTTTTATATGTTAATGACACGCATTCTGTAACGGTTCTGTCCGATATCTGTTTGACAAGGCCAAGCAACAGTTTTCGCTGTTGCACGAATGGGCAGGTCCGTCAGGGGAATTTCCACGATCTCACAGAGGACCGGCGCGAAGTGGAAGTGTAATACTTCTACGTTTCGTCTGGTGAGTGAGGTAACCCGAGCTCGCTATGATAAAAGGCCATGCATCTGCAACCATACCGGTGTTGCCAAAGTCCATGGGCGGCGGTTATCACTTAACATCAGGTGAAACGCCAGTTCGCATGCTACCATCTCAAATAAAAAAAAACGCTTCTTAGACAGTTGCTCGAGTAATATGAATTAAAAACGTGCTATATATTGCATCATCAATTCAGCTTGTTTGTGTTAACTGCTGGGGGTGGCCTGTTGGCCGTTGTTGGCCCCCCACAGACTGTCGCGCTACCTACATCCATCGGCTTCCCGCACAGTTGCACAGGCCGTCACCCCATCCGGTGATAATATATATTTACTGTTGAAAAATAATATAGTACACAAAAGTACTAATTTTAAAATGTCATCGCTAATTACAACCCTATATTTATATTATTATGAAGTTGTAACTTATGAGAGACTTACGTAAACTTCACTTTAGCGACGTATATATGATGCAGCCATGATTCGCACATGATTCTCAATATCATGTTTAAAGCGATTGTATCATCCGTTGCTTTTATAACTGGCAGCAGCATTTTATCTAGTGAAAGTTGAGACAAATGGGAAAATCCTCTTTATTTTTTTATACCAGGAATGAAGCGAACGAACGCGGAAAAATTTTTTAGTCTTTAAATTGTAGCATTTTCCCGGGGAAAAGCAAGACAGATAAAAAACGTTAACACAGAAAGTAAAGTAAAAACCGATACTAAAATATAGTATAGAAAAAAAAGATGTTTTTCAAAGTGGGAATTATAATGCTTGGGTGCTTTACGAAAAAATTTATAGCTCAATTTATGTTTCTCAATTTTTGCCTTCAGGGACAACGAGATTACATAGTTCAAGCATCGACTGTCAAGAATATGAATGAGAGTCATAAAGTGGAGTTTCAAATAAGGTTACCTAAAAACTCTTGCACGTAAATTGAGTTATCTGGTTGTGGTGGTTGAGTGATCCGTCGCCATTCCGCGTTGCTTGGAAATATCATGGTCAAATGCGCTAAACTCGTAGTTGCACACACTGCAGACAGCACTTCCGTTATCTCCTCTGTTGCATCCTATTATTCACCATTAGTATGAGTGCCCAGATATTTTGTAAAACATATCCCTTTTCGTTTCAACGTGCGAAAGCTCCCTTTTACACATTATATCGAATTTTTCACTGTTGGAATGTTAAATGATATAATTTTACAATATTTAATATAATGAAATCTCATATTGTTTTTTTATGGAAATTTTGGCAAGCGAGCAGGCGGTTCCGATTGCCGCTGCCCATTGACATTTACGACATCAACCATTAACAAAATTGGGCCCCGGTTACCAGACCAAATACGAAAATCTTCCGTTTCAGGGCGTTCCCCGTTACAGATTTTTTTTTATTGCAGCTTCTTATTACTAAGCGTTTCAAAGGCAAAATTTGGATTTGTTTCAAAAGGACTTATTTAGACTGCTAGATGGTAAGTACAGTCGCTGATGGTAAATATTATGAATGTTGGTTTAAAATGAAAAAAGACAAGCTATAGCTACCGGTACAAAATAATGAGCTTACTTTACATGCAAACTTTTTAATCTGAAAATTAATTCTGGCCGATTTTAGAAAAAATAATGCCTGTTAAATTCAATAAAACTTAGGAAAATTCTTTTGTTTAATTTTGTTGGATTTTTCGTTGAGAAGTTAAATGGTATGGATTGAAAATTACTTTAACCTTAAAAATATTGAGGTGAAATGCAAAGAACTAAAAATGCTGAAAATTGAAAGCAATGAATGTGACGCGGGATCTTATATTAAATATAGGGTTAAAGTTTCAAAACTTGACTGACATAGTTTTTAGCCCTCAAACTGTAAGAAACAGACTGCACAAGTATGGTACGGCCTTCATCCACGACGCCCCACCTATCCGTCATGGAAATGAGGCCGCCGAGAAGCATTTAAGGATAAAATAAAATATTTTTTCCGAGGAGAAGTTTATGCATACAGTGGGTCAACAGTAATTTTGTATGATAACCGAAAAAACACCGTCACGTAAAATATTAATTTGTTACTTAGGCTTTTTTAATGTGTATTTGAATAAATCAAAAATTCCTATTCTAAAGAGTAATAAACATCGGATTTAAAACCTCCACCTTCAGTTTTTGTATGTTGACTTTGACCTCGGACACCAATTTCTCCCTCATGTTGGCACTTACTTTCTCATGAACACCAATGTTTTCTGAAATAATTCGACTATTAAAGAAAAGTTTGTTGAAAAAACTTTGTTGCGACCAATTTTGTTATGGAGACAATATCGTTTCCGTGGGATTTTTATAAAAAAGTTCGATTGAAACATTTTCCGTAAACGGAAAATGTTTCAATGTTTAGCCAATTTTTGTCAATGTTTAATAAATGTTTAGCCAATTTTTTTGTGTTAGTGAACGGTCGCGGATTCTTTTGCATTTTCTTGGACAAGAAAAAATATATTAAATAGGCTATTGTCTATTAAATCCAAGGAACAGCATATTTGCTGTTCCTTGGCTTTAATGCAGTGACAACTTTAAAAATAGGTATTACTTCTTTAGGCCCTGCCCTCGAATTAGCAAGAACTTAAAGCATTGTCATATAAAACACCAAGAAACTGATTGGTTTTCGGACCTGTAAAAATGGAACATACCTAATTCAATTGAGGATGTGTGATCAGCAAAGCGCAAGTTTGCTAATTGCTCCATACATATTTGCATATCTTTGTGAGTAATACGAAAAAAATCATCCATCTCCCACATGTTAGCTAGACGGCGGGTTTCCGACAAACACCACAGCCGAAAAGTATGTATTGAATGATCTGTGTAGGATGTAATTATGATTAAATTAATTCACGATATTCCTTATACTGAAAATAAAGAAACAGCCTACACTTGTCCCACTGTTGGCCAAAAGCCTCTGTAGGTGCAGACGGAGGGTATTAGGGCATAGGTGCACCACGCAGACCCACTGCGGATTGGCCGAGTTCACATATCTTCGAAATGTTTTTGTCATGATTTTGAAAATATACAGGTTTCCCCACATTGTTTTCCCTCACCGCTAAGCACGTGTAAAGTCAGCACTTAAAATTAACAATTGCCTTGGTGCCAGCACCAGGGATCAAATTCAAGTTGTTCGAGTAGGTATATTGAATTAAAAGCGAGCATATACTGGAAATTCTAATAAAATTATACGTACTTACCAAGGCGATGTAAAATTGGTATCTGTTCAACGATCGGCAAATCTTCTAATGGAGCGCCTAATATGTAATCCCAGGTGACTTCACATTGATTGTTAAGAGTTACCAGTTCTTGCAGCATTAAGGCAAAGTTCGCCCCTGATTTTGTACTCTAAAATATTTATATTCCATTACAGATATATGTGCAAAATAAATAGCGAATTGTATTACTATTTAAGACTAATCATGACCCTATTGTATACAAATTGTCTACCATAATGGGTTAAAAATAACATTAGGCAGTGTAAGAACCTATAGTGTAATGTATGTCCTTGTCTAGAACCCAGCAGACGTACTACCGGATTATTGAACGGTTTAAAAGATGAAATGCTTCAGCCCCATCTGGTGGCAGGTAATTACTGCGTACCTTTCGTTTTAAATTTATACCCTTTCCACAGGAGTTGACCTTTGACTAGAAGTGAGATATTTATTAAATGAATGTACACTACCGGTAAAACTGACATAACCCTAAATATTCTCATTACCTACATTGAAAACGCAAAAGGATTTCGGTTTCAAAATGTATGTTGTCTAGCAATAAAAGTTCAAAGATTTATGAAGTAAATTTAAATCGATATGTATGAATATATTTAACTACATACTGTACTTACTTCCGTTATAAAAACTGATAATTCTGGGTATATTTTCAAAGACGTCATTTTTAAATTAGTTGACAATGTTGCTCTGAAATTTAACAGTTTTTTATGACCAAACTCAGAGTCACAACTTTTTGTACTTAAATGAATTTGTACATCTAAAGACGCATTTAATTTTATAAAAGCAATAAGATGCTTTAAGGTTATTTACCCGAAATGCCTATCCCAAGATGTAGAGGTCACATGGCATCCCAGAGCATCGGCTAGTATTCTTAAAGCGGATAGTATCAACTCTGGAGTATCTAAAACAGTTAATTGTAATTCTGTTTTATTATTCTTGGGAAGTTTATAGCGAATACATTACATCAAAAATATGTTTAAATTACTAACTGACTGAGGTGCTAATCAGTGATTGCCTAATTTTTTTTGTCGTAAGCAAAAATTTTTCTCACCTTTGTGGTACGTAGGCGTTGATACGAACCTTTTATTTCGAATGTGGACAATGTCGTCAAAATAAATTAAATCAGGCAAGCTGAGCTACATCGGTTCATGACCAGAAGGAATTAAGACTATGATATGTGCTATACAATTTCAAATATTAATATATATTATATGATCGTAAAATCACTATAAGAAACTCACTGTTATCGTTAAAAGTTGTGAAAAGCCATTGTCGAAGATTTTGGCTGATATTCGGAGATCTGAAACAAATTGCAACAACTGTTTAATGGAAATCATACGCTATAAAAATTCTTTTGACCTTAACACATCCGAAAACTAGTTGATTCGAACTAGCGCGTTCGTTCGCAGTATAAGGCAACATCTTAAGTACTAGCCCACATCTGTTTTAATTACCTAGTGCCCAAAGGGAAAGATGACCACCAGAGAACGATATGCTCCAGACAACTGCCTACATCTCCCCACAATATGTTCTGGTAATATTCGGTTACTTTGTGGGCGGCCTTCTTGCTGACTTGTATCCGTCCTATAATAAGAATATTTATTTAAATGCCGTTTAAATATAAAAAAAAATGTGTAATTATCACAAAATAAATTACACAATATACAATATGGGTACCAAGTAATTGATAAATAACTTAAACTTACTTTCCTTTTGTAAAAAAAACACACATTATAGATAATATGTAAACATCCAGATACTAAAAAATATTTTTGCAGCAGCGGAGGCCGAACCCTCACTCCCTAACGCAAATAATAATAAAAAATTAGACGTGGCCCTACCCTACCACAGTGAAATGTGCAGGTTTCCTCGCGATGTTTTCCTTCACCGCAGACGACATTGTAAGTTCACAATTAAAATTGCAAATAACAACTTCGTTGGTTTGGACCACATCGAGATTTGAACTTTGGTTACACTGTGTACTAAATTAAAAGCTACCTCTCGGACACTGAGCTATCACGGCAAACATACCTATAAAATGTAAACTAGAAAAACGTCGAATTGTCGTCAAATATTCTGGATCCGAATACTGTTATGCAAATACGCTCTTTGCAAAAATGTAAATGCTCACGTGAAATGTTTGTACAGTCGAGAACGGCGGAATGCAAATAAGATTATTCATACAGACGGATTTTAAATTCGCGCTAGTAGTGGATACGATGTTGGAACCATAAGCTATTACCTGTTTTAAGTTTTTTGACACCGTTAGGTCCTAGTAATGCAGGGGCAATGTTAGCGACGGTATCCAATAATACTTCTATGTACATTTCTTCGCTTTGTAAAATGCTGTTTACATTTTCTGAAAATAATGATATACACTGAAGAATAAAAACAAACCTAGATACAAGTATAATACGATGAATTGATAACTGAAATACAGACGTGACTAAGAAAAAAATTTGCGACCCGCGTTCACATACATAAAAAAGCTCAGTCCGTCCTCGGACAATGAACGTTGTTAATTGTTCGAAACGTCGAGGATATAAAATAACAAATTACACGCGATAAAACCCGTAGATTTTTTTTATTAAAATATTTTACTTACCTACCTTTTTCGTTATCTGTAATGCCCAGTTTCTGAAACACTGATCATCATCGATGTCAACTAATCAGCTGTTAAATGGCTTTTCAAATGTCATTTGAGTTGCCAAAAGGATGGTTAAACACATTGAATTGATCATTTTGATCATTAAGAAGATCATTCTGGTCAATTCCAGAGAGTCTAACTATCCTTTTGGTAACTAAAATTGAATTTGAAAAGTCACTTGACAGGTGATTAATTGACATCTACGATGATCAGTGTTTCAGAAACCCGGCGTAAATGTAGCAGATTGAATTAAAAAACGTGTCTTATTAAATAATCGTATCGAGTGTGTGTCCTATTTTTATTATTAAATGCACTGTAGTGATTATTTTATACCTATAGAGATGTTCAACATTTTTATCATTGCACAACAAAGAGATGAGTTCAAAGGAAGAATGGAATTGTTATTAAAAATACCTTCATTTCTGAATACCGTTTCCATAACACCATCATTTATAAGAAGCGAATTGTACGGCACGTCACCATCAGAATAACTTAACACCTCACTCAATTTTCTATGGCCATTTCTCTTCTCTATCAGACTTTGGGCTTGTTTCATCTTACATTTTCTATTCTCGATGAAGGCCTCTTGTTTCTGTATAATGCTAACTTGTCGAGAAGCAGTTGATGTAGGTGGTGTTATATGCCTCGTTAGCGTACTAAAAATTCAAATTCAAGTTAACATTTTTACGAACGTCGTCCTGTTTGAAATAACGTGCACACTAAACTGCATTTATTAAAAAATAAATCCAAAAAATTATTATAGTAATATTATTTTGTACGATACAGATAATTTTGAATCAATGTAAAAACATCACTCTGTTACCAATGTTTGGAAGTAATCGTTTGTATGGACTGATACTTACTGGTAAATTTCTAAGCTATCTGCAGTACTGGAACTGGATTCGTTATCGGGATTTGCTCCGGGTTGGTACATCTTAATCAAACAGTTTATCAAACGGTGGCAATTGTTTTCTGCACGACTCTTTGATAGGAGCTGTAACATATAAAATATGCCATTTAAATGATATATCATGCGACAACGATAATTAACTATTAGTAATAAAGTAACTTTGTATATCATTACGAACCTGAACAATTTTTGTTAAAGTTATTGGTTTTGTAGCGCTTATAGCATTCGGGTAAGTGTTACTGCAGTTATTAAATTTAGATGTAAACCTTTTATAGCTTAGACCAATCAAGTTATTATATAATTCTACTAGTCTGTAAAAAATAAACGAACTCTTAAAAGTTTTCAACAAATTCATGTCTTATTATTAAACTCTTCGCACGGGTGCAATGTATTATCCATATAAACCTTCCTCTTGAATCACTCTATCTAGTTAAAAAAACCGCAACTAGATCCGTTGCGGAGCGAAGGGATACGTGTAGTTACAGACAGACTTTGTTTTATACTATGTAATGTAGTAATATGTCATGCAACCAATGTAGGTCTAGCGTTTATAAGTAGGTACATTAGAGCGTACATTATAATATATTTTAATGACGCTACTGAAATTACTTTAAAATTTTAGTCCTCAATGAATTACTTTTAAGATAAAGAGTTATTTTTTTTATAGTTAACTGAAAAAATAACAAAATACACTTACCGCAAGCATGATTCGAGGACTTTTCGCGAATCCTCTCTATGAAGACAGGTATTTAATATTGTTGTTATAAGGCTATGCATTGATTGTAACATTGTAAATCTCCAGCTACATAATTTATCAAAAATATGATCATGTTTACTTAATACCAAGTCATTATCTTTTTTTAATCTTGCAAATTTAGGATTCAACTTATAAAACGATTTCACTAATTTAGATATGTATTCAATAATTTGTTCTAGCACCTTGAAATGAATGAAATAGGGAAATTTTATTTTATGCGTAAACATTATAAATGACTTAAAAATTAAAAATCTTACCTGTAAATTGACTAATTCCAATATATATCTACGATTGCCAAATGAATACGTTGTGTCTTTGTCAACAGTGTTTGCCATCCATTTGTTGTCACATTCCGATATCACTTTCGTTATTGCAAAACAGACGGTTTCCATTTCCCTGGAGTGATTATAAAGTTCTTCCTCTTCGGCGGTCTCGTCACTAAGCCATTTGTTTGTTATTACGGAAATCATATTTATAACTTTACGCTAACTACTCGTAAGTGTAAACAACCATTGTTTTATTTAAGCAGTATGTTAACTACTCAGTGTCATATCGGAGACTGAAGCTGAAGGCTGCATATACCTATCGTACCTATAATACGATCGATGTGTGGAGACGTCGCCGCCAGTTTACGGAGCTAATACAAATTTCGCGTCTAAGGTCTTGTAGAACAGGCAGCAAATGACTATCATTAGAATTTTATTGCTGCTCAACCTCGACCTTGAACTGCGTAACAGTCCAAACGGTAGGATTGAATATTTATTGGTTCACTCGGAGTTACCACTGTACGAGATTAAGCTTTGCCATGATATTGAGTGGATGATGGTCTTTTTAAAGTTTTATCGAATCAAAGTTGCTCCTCCTTTCGCGTTTTGATGTGACGCCGTTCATGTGTTTACTAATGTATAAATTGCGATACTCTAAAAGACCCAAGCTGGGTTGTGGAAGTGGTAACCCGTTGCGGTCTCTGCCTGGATGGCATGTGTATAACTATAAAGTAAGCCATAATGTACGTATACGATTCATTCAATTAATGATTTAAAGTTTATGGAGGTCTTTTGGACGTAAGTAGTTGAAATAATCGGTCTTAGATATTTAAAGTATTTCTGCAACGTCGGAAGCTCGCAGACACTACGGAAATCGTACAATGAATCCACCATAGATAACTTTGCAAATATATCGATTCTAAAAAAATTACGTGTCTTTAAACAATTTATGAATTTTGAACATGCCAATATTAGCTAGTGATTCAATCGAACATTCGAAATAATAGAAGCGAAAATTTTATGTTATTTTAATAGATAACACAAGAAGAGATTCAAAAATTGATTTGGGTAGCCGTCAGTGACAAGGGCATTAATAACTCAAGTAGATCAAATGAAAATTGGGTGAAGGTCGGACCAAGGGTAGTAGCGTAGTAATTTACGTAACTAACTTCATGAAAGTGAAAGGTGTTTAAGTAATCTCTTACGTTTATAACCACTCTTTAGTGATCCAATTTGATTTCCATTGGTATTTATCACTCAAACAACTCAAAACTGACTAACTGACAACGTACATCTAAATTATATTAGAAGAAAAAGTTGTATTTTAAAGACAAGATTAAGATGTACAAATTAGGTTAACCGTGAATTATTTTTTCGTTTTATTAACCGTGCCTATATGGTGTGTTTTTCTTAAGAAATACTTAACTTTTACTTGCATGGGTTCTAATTCCGGCAGCAGCAGCGTGAAACTTTACTTTCGTTTTCCTACAAATTTTAATGTTTCATCTTAAGTGCAGAGATTAGCACTATAAAAAATTTATTTTAATAACTACCTCTGCATAATATCTATTCAGTGCTCTTCAGCAAGCGAGGAGTGTTTTTGCCAAATTGTACATCATTGCTTTAAGAAAATTGTAATGATTTTCTGACAAAAACCAACTATTGGCTTCGGCACCGAGGGTCGTAGGTTCGATTCTGTCACGGGAGAAGTGTGTGTGATCCTATAAAAGCAAAAAACTGTTCCGGATCAGCGTGTTTGCTTCCAAAGAGGGTCGAAAGTCGTGATAAACATATGATGAACAAGACTTTCACGTTGTGCCGACACTACATAGGTGAGAAAAGGACAGCAGAAAAAGATTTAAAATCCCCGAGTCCTGTAGTATATGTATAGAGCTGCTATCATAATTTGCTTCTATTTTGAGAAGCTCGGTGCAGTCTTTTCACATGTATTTCTCTCTCTCTCTCTCTCTCTCTGTTGTATAAATTCAGTGACTTTTGAAGCACTTGAGCAAGCACGCAATTACAAACATTGGTGCCAGCACCGGGGATCGAACTTAAATTAATAGGAGCGCCCGGACAATGAGCTATCATGGCTCAAATTACAAAAAAATGCCTAAACTATAAGAGTTCGGACGTTATTACTTTGATTCTAATATTTTTACTATTTCTGAGCTCTAATATTAACAACTATCATAACGACAAGCAGCACTATTGGTTATATCACCGTCCGGGAATGCAGCCGAAAAGCAAGTGACTGCTGCTCTACGCGACCATGTGTCCCTTTGCTCGAGTAGATAACGTCATATCCGGTATACAGTGTTGCCTGCGACAACACTCGGCCGTCCTGCATCACGCCTTCTCCTCGAATGGCGTTGTAGTCTAGCGTCCTTCATACAATTAACACATTACCCTGTGGCTTATCCTCTCAACTGGGATGCGTATCCCCACCTTCAGAACACCTTACCTGTGGATTATCCCTCTCAACTGAGATGATATGTATATCGCCACGTTCAGAATACTTTACCCTGTGGCTTATCAAACGAAATATCCTAGGCTGATTTCGTAACTGCAATTCAATAACTGCCATAGAAATTATGTTCGATTCCTAGATTTGAAATTATGTACGAGACATATGAGCGACAAATAATTGCTACGGATCTGAGTGTTTGTCCACGTGAATTTATGTATTTAAAAGGTCCTTATAGCATCCTGTGCTGAGCTGCAAAGCAGTTCTTATTATAATTTAAATTAATTAGTAATAGGAAATTAAAAAAAAAATCTTTTCATTTCACAAAACTTTTATTTCGCGAAACATGTGGCATAAATTAACCATAGTACCCACTAATAACAAAATATTTCACTACTTGTTCAATCAATATTGCAAAGCGACATTTAGGAAGAAAATATCACAGTAAACAATTTACACCTAATAGCATTTATTGATACCTGTACAGTTTAACAAGGCTCCTAATTAAATGTCACTTTACTTAAATATAATGATATTATTGTATTACATAATTATGGTGACTTATAAATATACGTTCTAAATATTGCCGTACAACATTCATATAACTTTATTTCAGGTAAATAAAACAATAATTTTTAGGTTCAGTTACGAGGTAAGGCATTTCATAATATGTAACCGTCGAGGAGTATTTTTTTTTCGCAGCAGATATTTAACTAAAATATTTATAACGATTTTTTGTATTTACGCAAATACTACATATAAAATTAAAACTAATTCTAAACGGATTTTTCACGTTTAATTTAAATTTAATTGTTTCGTTCAGAATATTTTACACAAGGTCATGAATATGTCGTGAAACATCGGTAATTCAAATTATACGCAAAAAAATCCGTACAAATACTTTCAAAAATATTAATTTTTGTTAGATCTAAGTGATTGCTCTTTTTTATGAACCTTCACGTCCATATTTTTAAAAATATGACACTGAAAAAAGGCAACTAACGTGATATCATAAAGCTTTCTATTAGCTTTGCACCATCGTTTCACCATTACAACCCAATATGTAAATTTCGTTATTATTAGTTGTTATGGATGTGTTTCAATTTAAGGATTAATTGAAACACGTCTCTGAAAAGGTACGGAATAGTTTATAAAAATTACGCTAAAATCTGTAATAACGAAAAGATATTAAATAACATCTTTGTTATTGAAACAAGAAATTACAATAATTATAAATGTAATTTACTCTCTAGTAAATTATACGAAACTACTAAATAGCGGTTATAAATAATGAAACATGACATAATTGTTTTTAATTAATTTACGCGGAGCATGTCTCGCCCGTGTCAAGATTCATACTTAAACTTTTTTGAAAGAACATTGTTAGTGCGAAATGGCACATCTTCAATTTCGTTCGAGGTTGCCGATGTTTGATATTATATGCTCTGCGTTAGTGCAAAAACATCGTTACCCATGTTTTGTTCATTTTCTTCAATTGGGAATATAAATCATATTTTCTATTTTTATTTTTAGTACAAAACATTTATAAAAACAGATTCTAGTACATTGTAAAACAAAATAAAACAAAGAAACAAAGCACCTTCTTTTAAACAAATCCGTTTCAATTTTCTTTGAAGCCATACAACTTTTCCTGACTAAGAATACATTTGGAGACATATTATGTAATTCTCTAAGCTAAGAATAACGAGTATAGTAATACTTAAACACTTTGAAAGGTAAAAGAAACGATCCTGTCTAATACTAACAACAATAATTCTCAAAAGCGTAAACGAAATTGCTATAGGCAGTAATACTTGTACATAATTAATATGTACATATGATGACATTCTGATTGTTTCGAGTAAGCAATATGTCAAGGCCACGTGCATTGAAATCATCGGCAGCCTAAATAGCAGTCGGCACACGCTTGCTGTTAAAAACAACAACCGCAACGTACGTGATTTTTTTTCTAGAAACAAAGCCATTACCGTGAGAATGAGGTCGTTGACTTAAGCTTCCTTAAGACTTAAGGTCACAACTTTTGGCATGTTTGAAAATTTTTCAGCTGCCAAAATTTTGTATGCATAGACTCAACATGGTTATGTTGAGACTATACATTTACCGCTCAGCAGCAGCACTTCGAAATGGTAAAGCATAGGCGTAACATCCCGTTAGATGCAAATAGTAAAAGGAACAAATAGATAATAGCTAACAAAATAATTCACTGTGGGTACAGCCGCGCAACTTCTTTTGCACCAATCGTCGGGCTCATCGCGGGAAATACCACGTCCTCACAGAACACCAGCTTGAAGAAGAAGTATAGCCCGTATTATTATTCGAGTTATACTTCCCCTTTAGTTTCGCGTTTCGTTTGGTGAGTGAGGTAAGTGGAGCCCACGTTTTTTATTTTTTTTGATTGTCAACGCATCTGCACGCCCTCTGGTGTTGTGGATGTAAAAGTAGAAAAAAATAACTGTAACGTTAACATGTTTGCGAAGAGGTTCTCGCACAAAACGAAAACTATTATAACCTTCTAACAGTAGCTGTTAGAAAATATTAAAAAAAAAACGGTTATCTTAAGACAACAACGATGCTCAACGAATCTATGGGACGAATTAGAAATGTAACAAAAACATTACCGGAAAACTACCAATGAGTGAAACAATCAATAAAATCCTAGATCCACTCCCCCAAACCGCAACGTTAGAAAATAGTTGATCTGCGTCATTTAACATCTAATAATATAACACTACGCGATACACGTAGAATCTCTTAGCCTATGTTAGTGCTGGTCAAACTTAACAATTTGTATTGCTCCGTTACACATGGAAGCTTAGTATTAGTCACGCAAAACTCAAATACGCCCGATTGAAGTGGCTCGCGGGTTCTTCACACGTACAGTCGCGTGCAATAATCGAATTTATCACTAATTAAAATCTAACATCTAAAAATCCGTTTTCACCAAATCATCGAATAACAACGCTGTTCACTACTGTACCTGTATCAAGGACGAGACAGAAAACGAAAACGACTGCCACGCGAACGAGATGGCAACACTCGCAACTCGCACGAAACTTGGTACCGCGCTGCGCAATCACTTGAACATACTTCAGGGCGCATTTAAGTTTTGCGCGCCTTATAACACAGGGTACCTATAGCGAGTGAACACAGTGTTTCCTATATAAAACGCCACGCGTCAATCGGGCATGTCTATACTAGTTACGGGCACGACGGGCTTCATTGTCTCGTTCTTCTTCTGGTTCTTGTGCGACTTTCCCTTCGGCTTCTTGTGGGTCGCGTCGTCGCTGTAGGGCTCCGGGATGGCGGGCTCGCCGCCCGAGGCGCGGTTCGCGTTGTTGTTGTATGCGATGTTCGCGTACTCTTGGAGGAGCGGGAACACCGAAAGGAGGAACTGACAGAAGTCCTTCCTTATCCCGAACCACCCTGCGGAGGGGTCGTTTATTAGCGCCCCACAGGGACCCCTGGGGTTTCACCGTGAGGTAGCAGAGCCTTGCCCAGCGCACCGAAGATCACGAAATTAAGGACCGATTTTTATGCTTATGATGACTTGACATTAGAAATACATTTTCTTAAGTCGTAGCAATTGTCTCGCGATATTTTTCACTAAATGTTCAACATAATTTAATCTCTAAATATCTGGAGTATTACTGTGAAATGAATGGCAAACCAAAACAGTTGAGCATGGGTACTATTAACGGGCTTTCTTTTGATTTTATTATATCGTTAATTATAGATAAACTTTATAACATCACTCTAACACACAAACAGACTATCACACATATATTCAGTTATTTATTTATTATCATAATCATCATCTGTTTTTATTCTCACTTAATTTTGTACCATTTGACGTTTATTTGCTCTTAAACTTTATGTTTTATGTTATGAGTTTAGCACATAAGATACCACCAATATATGTATAATAAGATACCACATTATGTAACTAAAAGGGTTTCGTTGTAAATATGAAAAATAAAGTAATACACAAAAATTTCGCACTAAGCTGAAATGATTTTTTTGTTATAAAACATTGAAACGATAATGCATGTTATAATTATGCTAGGTCAATTTTATTATCTGTCGCTTATTATCTGTCAAGGGAAGTCCTTAAGTCTTCAAAACCAAATCTTACATGGCTGAGCCGAGTGTGACAATATGTGGCAATCCGTACTTACATTTGTTGCCTCCCTTCGAGCTGAATGACATTATAATAAGCGTGGCGTAGCTCACGAAGAGCGGACTCACCACCACGATATAAGAGAGGGCCAACCCATCATCCAGTTTGTTCGTGAGCAGGACCTGTGAAGTGAAATTATTTATAGTCCACGGTGTGTAGGCCAAAGTCTCTTCTATATTATGCCTTTGTTTTGCTACGTAAAAGATACTGAATTATTAAACTTATAATTATATAAATCTATAAAACTATCGGATGAATATTTCGCTATCATTCAGCTTTTTAGCTAGTACTAGTACTGTATTACCCTGTTCTATAACTGAGTTTTCGCAGTCAAGAAATCTATATGAGACCTTCAACACCATTTACGTCATACTACGTTTACAGTGTTGTTGAGTTAGTTAGTATTAAATTTTTAAGTGTTATAAAAACATCAACATTATTGCAATGCTATCTTTATATTTTATATGTCCGCTGCTTGAATAACTTTGTTAAGTATTGTACGTGTATTCAGACTTTTTTTTTACTTTTTTTTTATTGATTATTTTGCGACAAATGTCTCGAAATTCCAGGCATTTGTTGCAATTAAAAATTTAGACATTGAAATTAACTATCCTAAACAACTATCGTTTATTATTCAACTGATATTTAGAATCGTCCGTGTGCTATTTTTAAATCTTACAATACGAAAATTCTATAAAAATAATAAACATCTGCTAAAAACATAGATTTCTCATCAAACTCGAGACGCAAAGCGAATGAAATATTTCTCACAACTTCATAGTTATCAAATCCACGTTTTATACTTTTATATATTCAAAATAATTAACACACGTAAAAATAACCTTGTTCCGATAGATATGTACCTATGGAACTGTCATAAACGTGAGATTTTTTGTTTTGGTGAATTTTGGTACCCGACATTATCGGTACAATTACAAATATCTATAGTTCAATTACCTGGAACACCAGTATCGGTATAACGGTGAAAGTATAGGCTAGTGCTGTGTTGAAACTGGTCCGGCGTTGCTGCATATTCACCTCCGGGGTTCGTAGTAATATACCCGCGAATATTATACTGTACAGTACCCCTAAAAACACGAAAACGGTTAAGCCCGGGAAAAATTATGAAATCAGTCGCACGCACAATGTTAATGTAAAACATTACCGCAATTTCGCAACAGCAGTACCAACAGACGTCAAACTTTTTTCACTTAACGCACAGTGCCATCAAATGTGCAGTATCAATTTAATCAATCTGAGATTTTAACATGTATTGAGTAATTGAGAATGACAAACCTACATTGGCGGGTGAAAAGTATATAATAAAGTTTCGGTCAAAAACATTAAATCAAATTTAAAACTCAAACCCTCCCAAAATAACGCTCGGATTGATGCCAAGGATAATTCGCAAGAGTAGTAATCCATACTCATTCATATTCATATTATAAATGCGAAAGTGTGTTTCTTTGTTTGTCCTCCTTTCACGTCGCAACGGAGCGATGTTATGGTATTATTTTTTGTGTATGGATAGTTAGGAGGCTGGAGAGACATAGGCTACTTTTAACCGAGATAAAACATCTCATTGGATATTCCAAGAAGATGCGTATTTGAACAACTCCATACTAAAAGTAACAATGTGTTGGTCTTTAAATTCGTAAAGGATCTATGGATTAATACAAATTTATAGTTGGAAATATTATTTTAATATATACCTATAAATATTTATATAAATTTATAGTTCTAGTTGGAAGGTTGAAGAGGGTCATATGCTACACAGTTGAACAACATCTAAATCTCAATGGAAAATGCATTGATTTGTGATGCTTAATTTCAATGTATGTTTAACTAACTTATATAAGTCGAAACGGTTCTGCGGTTCGATAAGCTATTTGATATGAGGGTAGTTGGTAAGGTGGAGAATGAACTAGGACACTTTTTCCCGCGGGAAAAAAACCTCTTTTTTGAAAACAACTATGGTAGTGCCACGCAACAGTTTTCACTGTTGCACGTATGGGCAGGTACCCCCGGGTAAGTACCACGACCTCACAGAAGACCGGCGTAAAATGGAAGTATAATACTTTCGCGTTTCGTCGGCGTTCATGGGCGGCGGTATTCACTTGACATGAGGTGAACAGTCTCCTCGCTTGGCAACTTTTCACATAAAAAAAAGGTATGTCCTATACACAGAAAAGCCTTTAAATACTACTTCTAGATGATGCTGATAAGTCATGGAACTTTTTAAATGGGATCAGGAAATATAACACTTGCTTTCAAATAACGTCTTTTGGAGTAGATAGGGAAATAATAATGCCAGGATTTTCGCCAACAATTACGGTGCATGGGAAAACTTATCACAGGATTGGTGAACTTTTTTGAGCTGAAAACACAACAAGTTTTATGACGCTCTGCAATACCCATCGATTTATTGCAAAAGACAAGAAGATTATCATTTACACATTCCAACAATTAATCCAGTAACAAAGCAGCCTACTCCAAACAAAATTGTATGTAATTTTTCGCGTATCATAATTTGATGTTACTACAATGATTTTAACCTTCCAACTCGGTGAAAACAACTATTTCATCAGTTCCTGATAGATGTGCAAACGTGAACGTGGTAAGCGAACGTCTTCGTTACATTTGCTAGATGCGGTTGCTGGCGACGCCAATGTTAATCCTAGAGATCTAGGTAAAATGATAATTTCTCCGTCATCCCTCGTTAACAGCCTCCGCTATCTACAGCAATACACACAACGCAGCAATACGCGTTCGCTTATGTATGTACGAACTTACGGAAGACAAGACCTATTTGTTACTTGCAACCCAAAATGACACGATCCCGAAAGACACGATCTAGTTGCCAAAGTGTATAGTTTAAAAGTACAAAAATTAATGACTGTAAACGGAATACGGAGAAGTACAAAAAAGGGGATTACCGCATATGCTTATTCAAATATAGCTTAAAGAGATGTTGCGGACCAGCCACATTAGATGAGTTAATAAGCGCCAAAAAAAGACTGCGGAACCTGAGCAAGATAAAGAATTGTATGACACTATAGTCCAGTCCTAACCATAGGTCGTGAAACTTATTAGGTTAGAACTGTTCAATTCGTAGTTTATTCTGTATTATGGTATTAAGCACTAATGTGCTTATAATTTTAACCGACTTCATTATTATTATGTATTCAATTCGACTGTATTTTTTATGTAAACCTCTTTTTAAGACATTAAGAAAATTTATTACTATTATAAAATGGTTTAAGGTCCATGTGGAGTACGAAATCCATCGCAATGCGTGAAAGATGCAAAATGTACAAGCAATTTCCTAAACAGCTGTTAAAACATCGATCTGGAGGTATACAGGGTGATTTTTTTAACTACATACTTTGACAGAATGTTAATGGAGCATTCCATAATTCAAAAAATAATATTAATATTTTATTTTGACCAGAAAAATATCAATTCAGTTTGTTTATCCCGTTAAGAGTGGTCACCCTATTGGTCACCATAGTGCTCGTCAATAGATTATTGTATCGAGACTCTAAGGCAGGAACTTCTTAGGGCCATATTGTTTGAAAAAATTTAAAATAATCCTTGAAATAAAATGAGGTCACAAGTAGGTAGGTACCAGTTCAGATTTAGAATCAAATTCTGCATATGCTCTGTTAATATGTCCGTTGTCTGTATAATCACCCAGTATATACATACATATATACAGCATGGTGTTACAAACACGAAATTAAATGAATAGGCTGCTAACGCTACTTGCCTAATGCTTGATCATATAAATCATAAAAGATATGATTAAAAAAAATTCAAATAAACCAATTCATTAAAAAAGGAACAAAATTTGTAATACTATACAACTACAACATTCAGAGACTTTTGTTTGTTGCCACAACATTGCATTACAAATCTCTCCTCCTAACAGTATGTTTTATCTCTTTTAAATTTAAACCAAGTAACATACGCTTTGTGACATTTACAAATGAACTTTTCGATACAGTTTTATCCATATGAGTGTTCTAAAATTAATTGTGTTGGAAAATTTAATAACTCTGTAAATATTGATATTCAAGGAAAGTAAATGTTGAATACAATTTTAATAAGTTATATTCCATATATATTGATTTATGGTCGAGGTAGTAGCGCCACGTTGTATATCCTTACTAATATTATAAACGAGAAAGTTTGTATGTATGTATGGATGTTTGTTACTATTTCACGCAAATACTACTAAATTGATTTTAATGAAACTTTACAATAATATAGCTTATACATCAGAATAACACATTGGCTATAATTTTTATACATATTTTTATGTAAAAAAATTATAGCCAATGTGTATTTATATGTTTTTCTGTCTGAATGTTACGCCTTCAGTCTATTCTATGCAGACGTAGTCGCGGGCAGCAGCTGGTTAATTATAAATGTATATATATATATATATATATTATTCAATTTTGGTGTTATATAGTTATAATATTTAGTTTCGTGTAACAACAATTTTGATTTTCAGATGAGTAATCAAAATTTAACATAATTTTTACAGGACATCAAAAACTAAAAACCATTGTATTCAACAGTAGAGATGGCTGCGAATAGACCTAAAAAATTAATTCTGTGTACTGTGTTCACATTTATTTCATTACTTTACAAAGTAACAAAGTATTGAGAAGTAAAAAAAATGAATACTATTTGAATGGCAACTATTGAGGTCTACTTTTCTAAAACACCTGATGCTGCTGATACTATTACTCATATTTCTTGATTGACTTGAAAAGAGATGACAATCTTCAAATACTTGAAAATGGGGCACAGAATTGTACTGCCTGAGGGTCCACCATGGTGCATGCAAATTTTTGTACAAAAAACTGCATGAGAATGTTAATAAGTTATTTATGTATATATTTTATACAGAATGTTACAATAAAATTAGAATATATAAAAACATACATACACTCACCTACAAGGCTGAGGCACATAAGGATCCACAATGGCACAAAAACAACCTCCCACGACCAGTGGATAAAATTGTCCAACTTTAAGGCCAAGAATATAAACTGAAGAATATTAACAGCACAAAATAACTCAAGCTGAAATCAAAAACCACATTACATTTAAAGTACAAGATTTTGACAAATTATTTAAATTTGCACTTATTAAGCATACATAAATTTAAATAGGTTACATATATGCCTGAGCAATCATGACCATGCACCATTATATATATAGAAATTAGGATAACAAACCATAATGGACAAGTGTGGACAGTTTAAAAATAAATGTTTGTATTAAAAATTAAGAAGTAATAATTCTACTTTTAATACCATGTACCTAATATGTCAAAAATGTAATGAGCATTTTGGTTATTTGATTTTTCTAAATATTAAATACGCACCTCATAGCTACGGTCATGCTTCACAGACCAAATACAGATTGCAATCGACACAATACTTATAAAGATTAACGGTATGAAGACTAGTATCCATAGATGGCGACCTGTGGTCAACTGGTCACATACAAGTAACTCAAACATGAGGAGAATCAAATGAATAGCTAGACTTATTAACATTGCTTTGTAATGTATGTATGCTTCACCTTCTAGTCTGTAAAGAAAATATTCGAAAAACCAAGTTAAAATATATTTTTATCAAATCAGATTACAAATTTAAATGATTACTAGGAACAAGTGAAATTTTATTTCAAGCTATTTAAAAATAAGATAATAAAAATTATTATAAAATTACAACTATAACAGTGCCTATGTAGAAATATGTTATATCAATAAAACTAAATTACAATAGAAAAATATTTTGTAAGAATATTATTAAGGCCTATGTTTGTCATATTCTGTGTTCTTAATGTTACAGAAAAAAATTAACGACTGATTTGACAAAAATAATAAGCAGTACAAAACTACAAACCTGAAGTGTGGATACTGCCACCATACATATGTACCAATAGTGGCACCAAGCACGACTAAAAACTTCCATATCCAAATTGGCGTAAATACGGCCCAATAGGACCATGTAATTGTGCTATCCAATTTTAAGGCCAGTAATGCAGTAAATATAAGTAAACAAGTGTGTACCACGAACTTGCTGAGAAAAACAAATGAATAATTAGCGTAAATAGATCTACAAAAAATTTTCTATTTTTATTTTTTTTACCTCGGATTGAAATCTTGAAATAATGTTTGTAAATTCATTTCCATACACATTGGACCAAAAATGACTGACAAAACATTTCACTTTTTAAGGATGTTTTCTTTCTTTCAATAATTGTATAAACCACTACTTTTACAAATACGTAAATATTTGCACGGTAGTCCTATTTGTTCATTTCTTCGCTGTGAGCTGTGACACAACATAAAATTAATCTGTGGCTGTGACTGTCTGCACTCTGCATCTGAGTGTGAGTGACAATTACTTACATTCAAATACATTCCATTTCACATTTACTTTTACATACTGTATTGCCAAATATTAACTAAAATTAGTATTAAACCCTACGTAATTTTGTAACAGACGATCTTTTGACAGACATACTTAACTATTTTTACGAGCAATAAAATGTAAGATTATTACCACGGATTTGTAATAATTTTTAACAAAAAAGAACGACTCCTTTCTGACAAAAAAAGAATCATCAAAAGCGGTTTTCATAAACGACAAAGTTATCCTCGAACACACATAAAAAAAATACATACCTCAACCACCGAAACCTCCTCCTTTTTTGAAGTCGGTTAAAAAAACAGGACTCTGCGCCACGAAAATCAGTGAAGCATAGTAACCTATTTAGTAGGTCACCATAGAACACTAATCCTCTCACGAGTATAAGTCACACACTTCAAGTCATACAATCTCACTAAGTCACACAATCTCACTGAGTCACACACTTATATCATAGTAAGCCTAAGCCCTAGAATGAGCGGCACAATAAAAATAAAATAATACCATCTTGTGATGTTTATTAAAATTGTCAACGAAAAACATAACACAAGGGAGAACTGTTTGATGTGTTATATTTTTGACATTATAAAATCATTAGGTATGTACTCTCGGAAACAAACACAAAACCTTAACAAATATGTGTTGTCAGAAATATATGGGTAATCTTTCCAACAAAGGGACTGGATAATCCATTTTGTATTTTTTATATTTAATAAATTGCACTTGTCGGCGTAAGAATAAGCCACCCCATCTCATCCTGTGGGTGTCGTAAGAGGCGACTAAGGGATAAGCCACAAACATCCAGTGGCCTCCGATAGATGGCGGGATAACCATCTTAATTCTCCAGACCCAAATATCCAGGCCAATAACGGGCAGCAGCGTTATAGGAGCGAGGTGTCTGGAAGAACTGCGGTTGCCAACCCGCTCGCCAAGCGTGGCAACTATGGCAAAAACCCCTCATATATGGAAGTCCAAGGTGTACGGCCCCCAGTACCCGGCGGCCCTGCTATTCCTGGCTACGGTAGCGGTCATGGTAACGGCAGGGCAGGGGGTGCTAAGAATCCCCGGCTAGGATTCGGCTACCAACGACGGCGACTGGACCTGGCAACATACAACGCAAGAACACTGAGGACTGACGAGAAGATTACAGAGCTGGAAGAAGAGGTGAACAGGCTGCGCTGGGATATAATAGGATTATCTGAAATCCGAAGACAGGGGGAGGACACGATAATCCTCGAATCCGGCAACCTGTTTTACCACCGGGAGGGCGACCAACTGTCCCAAGGTGGTGTCGAATTTATCGTCCACAAGTCTCTCATTAACAACGTTGTTAAAATCGAGGGTGTGTCGTCGAGGGTTGCGTACCTTATACTCAGAATATCCAAACGGTATTCGCTGAAGGTCATACAGGTCTACGCACCAACGTCGACACATCCCGATGATGAGGTGGAGGCAATGTATGAGGATATATCACGAGCCATACATTCCTCCAAAACTCAATACATGGTGTTAATGGGAGAATTCAACGCAAAACTGGGCAAAAGGAAAGACGATGAGCTGAGAGTAGGAAGTTTTGGTATAGGGCAACGGAACCCAAGGGGGCAGCAGCTGGCTGACTTTATGGAGAAGGAGGGACTCTTTATGATGAACTCCTTCTTCAAAAAGCAGCCCCACAGAAAGTGGACCTGGATTAGCCCCGATGGTTCTGTAAAAAACGAGATAGACTTCATTATGACGAACAAACGGCAAATATTCAATGATGTCTCTGTGATCACAAGGGTGAAGACCGGCAGTGATCACCGATTGGTGAGAGGCACATTGAATATTAATATCAGGCTGGAAAGATCTCGTCTAATGAAGTCCACACTCCGACCATCTCGTGCCCATATCCAGAACTCCGAAAGCTTTCGGCTCGAGCTACATAATCGCTTCCAATGCCTAGAAAATTGCAACACTGTGGACGATATTAACGCTAAGCTCGTGGAAACTGTCCATGCCGTGGGCCTTCAATTTTATAAGGCCCGCCGCACAAATAGAACGCAAAAACTCTCCGATCACACTCTTAACCTCTTGGGAAAAAGACCTGAGATGCGACTGCAGTCTTTAACTGACATGTCAGACTACAGGCGGCTTAATAGGCAGATCTCGAAATGCATGCGGCGAGACTTACGCATCTTCAATACAGCTCGTATTGAGGGAGCTATAGAGCGGAACCTAGGCTCAAAAGTCTTCGCCAGAGATCTGTCTAACGGACAAAGCTAACTGACTAAGTTGAAGACTGACAGCGGGGCTGTCATCTCCAGTAGACCAGAGGTTTTGAGTGAGATTGAGAGGTTCTATGGACAGCTGTACACATCGTCGTTGGAGCCACACGCATGTGTGAGTTACGACCCAAGAGCTTATCCGACACTATTCCGAGAATATCCCGGACGTCAGTCTGAGCGAGATTAGAATGGCTCTCGACCATCTTAAGAATGGCAAAGCATCGGGAGAGGACGGAGTTACAGCAGAGCTTCTGAAAGCGGGTGGAGAACCGGTACTTGTAGTCCTTCAGAGGCTCTTTAATTTCGTCCTTCAGGGTGGTGCTACACCAGAGGCGTGGAGCAGAAGTGTGGTGGTGCTGTTCTTCAAGAAAGGCGATAACGCTCTCTTGAAGAACTATAGACCGATATCCCTTCTGAGCCGCGTCTATGTGCTGTTCTCAAGAGTCATCTTGAATCGTCTCGCTTCCAGACTCGACGACTTCCAGCCTCCCGAACAAGCCGGATTCCGGAAAGGCTTCAGTACCATAGACCACATACACACCTTGCGGCAGGTTATACAGAAGAGTATAATCTGCCTTTGTGCCTAGCGTATGTGGACTATGAGAAAGCCTTCGATTCTGTCGAAATTTGGGCGGTACTCCAGGCTCTTCAGCGGTGCCAAATTGACTGTCGGTATATCGAGGTGCTGAGGTGTTTGTATAACAAGGCTACGATGTCCGTCCAAGTACAGTCCAGTAGTACAAAACCTATCCATCTGCAGAAGGGTGTAAGACAGGGTGATGTCATATCCCCGAAACTCTTCACCGCTGCGTTGGAAGATGTTTTCAAGCTTCTGGACTGGAAAGGACGAGATATTAACATCAATGGCGAATACATCGCCCACCTTCGATTTGCCGACGATATAGTCATCATGGCAGAATCGCTGGAGGACCTGGGTGCTATGCTCAATGACCTCAACAGTGTCTCCCAACGGGTGGGCCTTAAGATGAACATGGACAAGACGAAGATCATGTCTAATGTCCATGTCACGCCTATACTGGTTGTTGTTGGGAGCACTGAGCTCGAAGTTGTTGACGAGTACGTTTACCTAGGACAGTTAGTCCGGCTAGGTAAGTCCAACTTCGACCCAGACGTCAATCGGCGAATCCAACTCGGATGGGCAGCGTTCGGGAAACTTCGGCAAATCTTCTCGTCGAATATACCTCAATGTTTGAACACTAAAGTCTTCAATCAATGTGTGTTGCCAGTGATGACCTACGGAACCGAGACGTGGTCCTTCACTGCTGGCCGTATGAGGAAGCTCAAAGTCACTCAGCGAGCTATGGAGCGGGCTATGCTCGGTATTTCTCTGCGTGATAGAGTTCGTAACGAAGACATCCGCAGTAGAACCAAGGTAACCGACATAGCTCAGAGGATTAGCAAGCTGAAGTGGCGATGGGCCGGCCATATAGCTCATAGAACCGATAACCGTTGGGGAAGAAAGGTTCTCGAGTGGCAGCCTCGTACTGACCATCGCAGTGTAGGACGACCCCCCCCACTAGATGGAGTGACGACCTGTGCAAATGTGCGGGAAGTCGATGGATGCAGGTGGCTCAGGATCGTACTTCGTGGCAGTCTATGGGGGAGGCCTTTGTTCAGCAGTGGACTCAAACAGGCTGAAATGATGATGATGATGATGACCTGTTGATTAAGATTTTTTAATTGGTTTCTTAAACGGAAAAATGATAGAATATATATTATAATAAACTGCAGAGGCAAAGTCCACCCAAGACAAGCTTGATATGTACTTTATTAGATGCAAATTGTATACCACGAATTATAAATTACATAAAAATTTTTGAAGCTTAGAAATGGCGTACACTTTCTATTCGATAGACAAAAAACCGGCCAAGTGCGAGTTGGACTCGTGCACGAAGGGTTCCAAGGGTACCATTACAAAAATGGCAAAAATATCGTGTCTGTTGTATGGCAGCCCCACTTAAATATTTTTTATTCAATTTTTTAATTTTTGTTGTTATAGTGGCAACAGAAATACATCATCTGTAAAAATTCAACTGTCTAACTATCACGGTTCATGAGATTGTCTCATGAATCCTGATAGTTAGACATATAGCCTGGTGACGATGGACGGACTGGCAGACAGACAGCGGAGTCTTAGCAATAGGGCAGGACCATACCCTTTGGGTATCTTCATTAATATATGTTTGTTTTTTTATGTGAAAAGTTGTCAAACGAGCAGACGGTTCACCTGATGTTAAGTGAATACCGCCGCCCATAAACATCTGCTACACCGGAGGGTTGCAGATGCGTTGACAACCTTTTGAAAATTTTGCCGTTTTAAAATGTCTTACGTGTGTCTTCATTAATATTCATTTGTGCTCCCACTCTCTCACTCCCACTGATTTTTGTTTTTCGTATACAGCGGTGTAGCCGCTCGACCAAGAGCAAAGCACACAAAAAAACTGACAATAAATCTATCAGATGATTGTATGCATAAAATAGATCATGGCAACATCGAGTATTAATAAATGGCAATAGCATAAAGGAACTTTCAAATTAAATGTCAGTCAAGTCAAAGTTTATCTCTATCTGTATCGTCTGTTCGGAATCTCAGCTTAGATTTTTTTCAAATGTATGTAAGTAGTTTCTTATAAAAGCCAAATATTTAGTAAACCATTCAGAAGATTATTAATTAAATAAAGCCCTAAATCAGCTATGGCATCGCCATCTCCGAAATCTCCTGAACAAAGTGAAAAGAACAAGCAATACGACCGGCAACTTCGATTATGGGGTGATCATGGCCAAAATGCTCTTGAAAATGGACATATATGTCTTATAAATGCGACAGCTTTGGGAACGGAAATTTTAAAGTCAATTGTTCTACCCGGTATTGGCGCTGTCACTATAGTAGACGATAATATAGTAGCTGACGAAGATATTGGAAGTAATTTCTTCTTAGAGTGTTCAAGTAAAAGTCTAAATAGGGGTTCAGAAGCATTACGATTAATATTAGAACTGAATCCTGCTGTACAGGGTTATGCTGTTCAAGAACCTACAGATCAAATACTTTCGGAAAATCCAGATTTCTTTAAAAATTTTAGCTTAGTTATCACTACGTCTTTAGGCGAGAAGACAATTCAGAGTCTGTCTAATCATTTATGGGAAATAAATGTACCCTTAATCATATGCAGGTCTGTGGGTTTCTTAGGATCATTCAGAATTCAGTTAAAAGAACATGCAATTATTGAAAGTCACCCTGATAATGAGCAACACGATCTCCGTTTAGATGTTCCATTTCAAACATTATCTACTTATCTCAATAGTTTTAATATAGATGCTTTAGATTTAAAAGACCATGGACATATACCTTGGATTGTTATTCTTTATAAAGCAGTCCAAAAGTGGCAAATTTTAAATTCCAGCAGTTGGCCTATGAGCAGAAAAGAAAAGAATGAAATAAAAGAAATTATAGAACAGTTTAAGAGATGTGATGAAAATGGAATGCCAATTTATGAAGAAAATTTTGAAGAAGGTCTTAGAGCAGTTAATACGGCTTTAACACCAACATTTTTACCAGTCAAAATTCAGGAACTTATTTATAACAGCTCCGCTATAAACTTGACTAAAGAGAGTTCACCATTTTGGATTTTGTGTTCTGCATTACGAGGTTTTGTAGAAGCTGAAGGGAAAGGTAAACTTCCAGTAAGGGGTATACTACCAGATATGACAGCATCAACAGATCATTATGTTACACTCCAAAATATATACCGTAATCAAGCTGCATTGGATGCAGAAATAGTTTATAGAAAAGTGCAAGATATAGTTGCTCAATTGCATTGTGATAGTATCAGTGAGGCTGAAGTAAAATTATTCTGTAGACATGCCCATGACCTGCAACTTATCAAAGGTTCAAATATAGCTTTAGAATATCAATTTAGTAATGCAGTATCTTCATACATTGCAAGACATTTAGAGGAACCCGATGTTATGATGGTTCATTACATCCTTCTCAGGGCAGCAGAAATGTTTCGTGCTGAACACTGTAGAGCACCAGGAGAATGGGAACCTGAGAGTGACATAGCCAAACTAAAAACTTGTGTTTCAAAACTATTAACCGATATATCCTGTTCACCATTCCCTAAAGATGATCATATACATGAAATGTGCCGATATGGTGGTGCAGAAATACACAGTGTTTCAGCATTTTTGGGAGGTTGTGTTGCTCATGAAGCCATTAAAATCATAACAAAGCAATATAAGCCAGTGAATAACACATTCATATATGATGGCGCTTCAACAAACACTGCTACTTTCACATTTTAAAATAAAATAGTTTAAATAAAGTAATTTTATTCACAACCAAGTCATTTCATTCATATTCACCGTTTAATTTGATAGTACACTTATTTTTATTTAAAATAATTAGGTAAAAATGAATAGACATTGGTATAATTCTTCAAAGTTGTGTATTTTCAGTAAGGATATTAACCATTTATAACCTTATCAAGATATAAAAGTAATTGCAGAAAACATTTTCATTAACAAATTTTCAACACATAAATTAGATAAAATAAAACATATCACATGACTAAATATAATTGAAACAAACTATACATTTGGCTAAAATCCGCATGGCAGGCTTATTAGGTTATACCATTGTAACAACAGTAGGGTTCGTTTATACATATATGTTGGAGACAAGACTCTCAAGAAATTATATAACACAACATTGAGAATTTGTCTTTATTTACCTACTTATTTCACCTTAGCCATAACTTCAATCGTAATGCATCTACTCCATTAAGATAATATCGAAATAAGCGTTTATCTCGCACAAAGCCTAAATTTTCATATAATTTCAAAGCCGGTTTATTTGTGATTTCAGTTTCCAATACAACTTCATCAGCATTGTCATTTATCATTGCCTGGAACAAAATTTTGGACACATTTAAGGACTTGCTTTACTACACAATAAAAATTAAAACAGTAAGTTGCAAAAACAAATTACTTGCATACCTGTATTGCTTTTTGAACCAGTCTGGAACCTATCTTCCTTTTCCTGTATTTTTTATCAACAGCTAACATTGCAATGTAGCCTCTTTTGATGACATTTCGATGCATATCTAACTTACATACAATGGCACCAATACACTTTCCTTCATGTGTTGCCAAAAAGCAAAGCTTAGGCCAGTTGTGTATAAAATATCTATAAGTATAGATAGAGTAGGGTTCAGATAAATCTTTCTGTATAAGTCTCATAATTTCTGGCATTTGTAGTTCTGATTCATATGATATAATATCAATTTGACCATCATGTTCACCATTGTTTTGTGAAGGGCAGACATCCTCATTGTTACAATTGCCTGTATCATCACTACATTGTAACCTATTTATATCTGTAGCGACTTCATAATCGATAGCATCTGGTGCTTCGGGCGTTACGGTAAAATCAAGGACCCTTTCATCAACAGAATGATCACTTGTACCATTGGTTAAATTACTATTAACTTTATGAATATGAAGAGTATTTGCTAATACATCACTTAAATTTTCCTGGTTTACAAGGTTATTTTCGTCAGTCTGTTCTGGAGGATCTTTGGCCTTTTTATTTACGTGTTTTGTGCTCTTACATTTTTGACTGCACTGGATACTCGCTAAATTTTCTTCTGACACTTGATTCATATTGATGTACTTCTATCTATTTTATTTACACATTCACACGATGATAAGCTCATAAGAATGGCAGAAAAGCTGTTCGAATTATACAAACAGTTTCTTGTCAAAATCGTAGTAGAATATCACCGACATCTTGGCATAGAAGTATTACTTCATTGTAAACGTGATCTGAATGTACTTATTTTTAATTTAAGACAAAAAGTGATATTTATTAATACAATATTTAACTAAAAACAGGTCATAAGAAAATACTTCTAGAAATATAGTAAATTTACGAGAACTCTAAGTTTAAGCCTTCCACAATCACATTGCGAAAAAAGAATAATGTTGCTATTTAGAAAAATATTCAGATTGGCAGAGTAAAGAATGCATTCAAAACATTGATAGAGGTATTTTTGATTCGAACATCATGCAAAAATATGTAGTTATGTACGTCATGTAAAAAAAATATATGTAATCTTATTTTATCTAATTAAGAGTAATATGGAGTACTAAATTGGGAGAGTGGAATCATTGCAAAAAAAAAAAAAAAAAGAAATCATTCACAACAGAACGTCAAACTGCTGTTACCTTTTTTTCATTATGGTTATGATTTTGATATATACCACCCCTTTGGACAATGGCCTCCTCGGTATTATTCTGCGAATCTACCCAACGCTAGCAAAAAATCGGCCAAACTCAACTCCAAAAAATGCCAAAAATTTGTTGGAGAGTACAGTATATGTAATGAAACAGACATTCTTTCGCATGAGGCATTTGACATATTCTTCTTGGTCGTTCCCTCACTGTTGAGGATCGTGACCCGTATTCAATCCGTCGACGAGCTGTCTCCATCGGTATCGTTCTGTTGCCTGGTGGAGTGCAGCGCTTGTGGGGGTTTCTAGGTTTAAAAATTTGGTCCACCCATCTTTTAGGATTACGGTTTCTGGTCGTCATTGATCATTGTCGAAGTCAACTAATCAGCTGTCAAAAATGGCTTTTCTAATGTTATTTAAGTAGCCAAAAGTTTAAACTCTTTGATCATTCTGATCATTAAAAAGATCATTCTGACTCACATTGAACTTAACCTAATCCACTATAAGAATGCACAGAATACAATTATTTCCCGTTCTACTTATTACGGCAGAATAATAATATATCTTAACTGATAGTGGCAGAATATTCATTTTCATTAGATGTTCACTGGTGGATGACAAAACACTTCCTATTTTATAAGGATTAAAATTACTGAAATTTTATATTTCTAAACGAAACGTTGTTAAATCCTGTAACGTACACCAGCGGGCTGCCGAATTCAATGGTTTATGATAGGGACTATGGACATTATTTTAGAATTCAGTTCTGAAGAAATACTAACACAAATAAGTTTACCACAATTTCAGCAATCTCACAACAACAAAAATAGTTTTCAATTAAAATTTATCTATATCTCAATACTACCCTGATAACCTAAATTATTTAGGTTATCAGGGTAGTATTGTTGCTTCTAATAACGCTAAACTAAAATATTAGTTACTTGATAGTGTAAAAAAAAAAAAGAAAACTATGTTCAACATTTTTATTTCATTTTTCCACCGCATTTGATGGAAAAGTAAAAAATATCTGCAAATATTCTAGTCTTTTCTCCTAATATCATTTGAGTTGGTATTGCCTCAGAAATGAATACTCAAAAAAGGTTCCTACCCTATATAATTGAGTGGCAATCCACTGTAAAAGCGAGCGATCAACCAAGGATAAGAAATAAATAAAAAAAAAAAGTAATAAATCATCGTATTATCTTATTACATTAATAGAAAACAAATCGTAAAATATCGATATGAGTAACTATTGATACTGTTTTGATACGATTTCGATACTAATTAGTTTGTATCAATATATCAGCTAAATATATCGACTATCAGTTATTTGACGAGTTAGATTTTTTGACTCGAGTTACTCGAGTTGGATTATTTTTGAATTGAGCTACTCGAGTTGATATGACTACTGACTCGACCCCTCCAACCATGTTCCCGCCTTGATGTGGCGGAGGGGCTTAGTAGCCGTGGCTTGATCACCCACGGCGAAGTTAAGAGGAAACCATACTAGGCCGGCCTATGGTGTAAGGCCGGCCTGAGAGGGCCGCTCTGAGTAGGCTCATTGAGCTCACTCAGGATGTGTGCTGGAGGGTGCAGGGGACAGGTTGAGCGTGGTAGAGGAGGAGCCACTCTCCCTGTGTCTTCTGCTACCGGAGGAGTCGCGGGGAAGAGGAGTGTCAGTATTACGTTTAGCCGCGCTGCTTATCCTCCGCGATTGGGCAGGGCTGCACCGCTGCTGCAGTGGTGGTGGGGCCGCGGGGGGAGAAGAGTGTCGGTATTGCGGTGCGCTGTACTCCCTACCTTCCGCGGCCGAAACGTGGTGAGCGGCGGAGCCTAGGGTCTCCAGGTCCACCACTGGGGGCTGGGAGGCCTCTTGTTTGTTGGCACTTGCGTTGGCAACGCGGTTTTCCAATCGTGCATTTTCGTTTCCGATCCTGGCCGAGCGAGCCCGAGTCAACCCAAGTTCAATCTGTATCTATTTCATTCATTAGGTTAGGTGTTACTTCTCACTCAACTTGATGCGAGTGAGACGCAACACCTTTTTTCTTGTATTGGGGGGTGGGGGGGCGGAGAATATTCAAAAGATACCCTGTCATAATATGTCAGGGTTATGTGGGGTTCGTACCCACTAAAACCCCCTCAGTTGCCACCTTCTGTACCTTTGGAGGGACTCCGGGATCTCCTACGGAACGCACCGGTGTCCCTCAGTACTGCACGTGAGCACGCCTCGGAGACGGTTAAACCTTCCCCGATTCCTTCGTCGTCTTGCAGCAGCACGAGACCACTTTATGCTGCTGCCAATCCGTGTCCATACCATACGGGCGCACCATAGAGGGCCATCGATCGCACGACCCCCGCATAGAGGTGGTGAACTCCTTACCTGGGGCCCCCGCGATTAGGCAGTAATTTGTGCAAAGCACCTACTATCTTCTAATAAGACCAAGATATTTCATCACTGGTTTCACCGGGATCTGCAAGTCACCCACGCGACCAGACCAGCTTGGTGGATATCTTCCTCTAGGGAGTTTGTGGAACCAAAGCGCCTCGGTCTTATCAGGCGCTATCCGAAGACCCAGCTTATGGATTTTGCCCACAACGCAAGCCACCTCAAGCTCGGCGAGCCAACTGGTGCTCTAAAAGCTACCCCCGTCGGCAAAGAGACGCAACACCTAACGAACGGCGCGCGTGAGCCGCGTATGTAACTTGTCAACTCGTGAGGCCTCGCGTACGTCCGGTTTGCATTCGGTCGACCGAGTTGATTCGAGTTTGCATAAAACCGAACCCGAGTTGACTCGTTTACAGTTTGATTTGAGTTACTCCAATCAAATAACCCGACTCGCACGTAACTACCCTATGTTGACATTTAGTCGGAGAAAGTCGAGGAAGCGTGTAACCGGATAATAGACAGCACTAATTTCTAGCAGTGTTGTCACTTTAATATGTTTCCATAAAAAAGGGAAGTTTTTACCTACGAGTACTAAAGATCAACATTCATTCAACAATCTTCTGGAATAAGATGTATTTTAAATGTAAATCAAAAGTAACAACATACATGAGTTAAAATCACACCATCAACATTTCACCAGGGTGGTGATGAAAAATAAATGTAATATGTAGTATTTCTGCATTTACTTAGTATCATCCATAAGCACAACCCGTCTCACAGATTAACCTATATATATATATATATATATATATATATATATATATATATATATATATATGGGATAGATACATATAGGGGATAACTTTTTAAAGTTGTATTAAACATTTAAAGTTTTTAAACATCAATATTTACAGAGTTATTAAATTTTCTAAAACAAAGAATTTTAGAACACTCTTACCTATAAAAGCGTAATGTAAAGTTCATTTGTAAAGGTCACAAAGCATATGAATGGGTTGAATGAATTTAAAAGAGACAAAACATATTGTTAGAAGGAGAGGCTTGTAATGCGACGCTATGGCGCGAGTTGTATAGGTGTTACAAATTTTGTTTCTTTTTTACTTAATTAGTTTGTTGAAAAATATTTTTTTTTAATTATGGATTTTGTTTAACATTAATATTTTTTTATGATTATTGGCAAGTAGCGTTAGACGTGTGTTCATTTATTGTCGCGATGGTAACGCACGCTGTATATATATAACTAGATGTGGCTCGCGACAATAATTTTACCGGAATAAAAAGCATTCTATGTACTATTCCATGACTTAGATATCCGTGTACCCAATATAATTATAATCTGTTCAGCTGTTTCAAAGACTATTAAGAATACACTATCTATGAAAAATACACTCAATTAGATCAACTTTTACATTTATTATTTTAGTAAGTTTAAATATATTATTAGGTAGTTTATTTTCTATTGTATAATATGTACATATTATAACATATAGATAGTTTATTTCACCAACAAACATAGGTACTAAGTAAATAAAATTAAACCAGATACTTAAATGAAATTAGTTTAATTAATGCTTGTCCAAGTCTTAATCCAAATCTTTACCATCACCCGATCGGTCCATCACCCGATGTAAATCTGTAATAAAACATATTATGTACGTATAGATACTTTGATATACTTTTCGTTATTGAAAAGTAGGGGTAAAAAATTAAAAGGCAGCCTAAATTCTATAACTTTGAGATTATATCCTTGATTGCTTTATGATTAATCAAAGATAACATATCAAGACACGTATAAAATCAAAAGGTTATTAATTTTCCTATTGCTAATATCTTACTGGGAAGCATCTTTTTGTCTACTTTGTATTTAATAAGTATTAATGTAAAATTTATTTGAAAAATTAAATCGTCATGATGTGTTTCTAAAGGATTGACTTAGGCACAATCATAATATAATAAAGTAATATTCGGTCTACATTGTACATTTTGTACAATTTGTACACACTACACAATGATGACGTCATGAAGAGAAGCAACATGGCCGCTGAAAACGCGCGTGTGTTAGGTAGTACGTTGCATCAGGTAAAATGCTCAATCCTGCATGAGGGCACGACTATTGGTTTGACTCGAGCTTGAGTTTATTCTCTCGACTCTCGACTCGAGAAGTCGCCACACAAGTTGCCTGTTCAGTCAAGCTTAGATTCAGTCAGTTCAGTACCCGGTTGACAGCCGGCCGAGGAGGCGGCGTAAAATGGCGTTATAAATATGGAATACGCGCACGCCGCCTCTACGCGGTTTTCCATCAATTGTAATACACGTTTTATACAGACATTTTTGTGCTGAATAAACTTGATTAAATTTGTGAGTGTGTGGACTTTTAATTACGCATTTCGAATTTATCAGTTTTATTTGTAGCTTAATCGAAATAGAAGCCTTTAACTGTTTATAAATTTAGTGGGTTCAAACCATAATATTAATACGTTAAATCACGGGAAATTAATTTAGGTAGCTGATGACGTTCATGAAAAATATAGATAAGTGTATTTGGTGATAGGTAAATCTTGTTGCTTGTCGTTAGTGACGATGTATGCACATTACAGATGTGATACTACTTTAATGCATGGAAAGGGTATTTAGTACCATGTTTTAATACAAACTTTCCATTTGGTGATGTGTTAGATATTTTATGGCAAAGTTAATGATTTCGAAAACAACAATGGCGGAACGTGAACGTCCTGCGAAAACCCCTATTAGGGTGGGTTTTTATGATATAGAAAGGACTATAGGCAAAGGAAATTTTGCCGTTGTAAAATTAGCGCGACATCGAATAACGAAGACTGAGGTAAGACAACTTTGCCTTAGAGTTACATACATTATTTTTTAATGTAAGGTCAAAAATATTCGTAGTTTTTTTATTTGATATTTTGTTATTATCTGTAGTGTAATGAAACTTAAATATCACTGCGGATTGGCGGACACATATCATCGATTTTTTTTACTTATTTCGAAAATATGATGCATGTTTCCTCACGATGTTTTCCTTCACCGCTGAACACGTGATAATTCGGCACTTAAAATTAACAATTTCATTGGTGCTGGCACCGGGGATCAAACTCAGGTTGCTAGAGTATATTGAATTAATGGCGAGCGCCCGGACACAGCTATCTACATGATTTGCTACTTTTTAATTTTATTCTGGTATTTTCCTCTTTCATAATTTGTATTGGAGTAACTCGAATCAAATCAATAATTTTGTTGAATGCATATACTTGCATATATGCGTAATAGCTTTGCCCGGGCGCTCGTTTTTACTTCGAAATGCTCGAGCAACCCGAGTTCATATTCCGGTGTCGGCACCAATGAAATTTTTAATTTTAATGTTGACCTATCACGTGCTCAGTGGTGAAGAAAAACTAGTGAGGAAATCTGTATTTTTTTGAAATAATAACAAAAAAAATATTTCGAAGATATGTGAAGTCCGCCAATCTGCAGTGGGGTCGCGTGGTGGAATATGCCCTAATGCTATACGCATAGAGGAGGCCGTTATCGTATATAATTTAATATACGTATATACCTACCTAAAATTACCATATTTTAAACTAGTCCTACGAATAATGAAGTCGGCTACGCAGCAGTTTGATTTCGTATGAAAATTACTAATTGTGAAAATGACTTCAAAAACTTGCCAGATTTTCAATACTTAGAGACTATCGAGATTTACTGACAAAGTGCTAATTCTTGGCGAAGAGATATAATACATGTCGACATAAGATATTGACATATTGTCTTTTACATAATTATACAGATGTCGACTTTCTTCGTAATACACCTTATATATTCTAGAAGGAATATGATAATAACAAAAGAAGTTTGACTTTTTTCCTACTTTAATTTAGTTCGTGAAAGGTAGTTCCGATATGACGACTCTTTACAACAGTTAATGCTTAAGGACGATAAAATTGATTTAAAAATACACTGGCAAAGAATGGATGATTTATAATGGCTTGTTTTCAAAACAATTTAAAAAGAATTTAAGAATAATAAGAATACGGAGATGCAAGACGTTAGTGATTTAAGTAAGTAAATAATAGTTGAAACCGTCCGAAAAATGAGATCTTAGATTGGGTCATATTTTAAGAGACTGTTGATTTATTGTAAAGATTTCCCTGGGTATTGCAGAAAATTCTTTTGATCCGTTTGGAACATACCGAACCTAAAATACACGGTCCGACGTCGGTTGTAGCATTTAAAGTGCACTTGATGCTGCGGTTGCCAATCCGCCTACCAAGCGTGGCATTTATCCTCACAACCTGGCAGAAATGCAGCAATAGACTTATAGTATATGGTAATAATTCAGTCTTAGCATCACAGTACAGAAAGGAATTTTTTACCCAAGACAGCTTATTATGAACTAAACGCATTCGGCCCTTAATCTAGGCTAACAAGAGTGGCAATACTAAAATCTGCCATAATGTAATCACACATAAGATGAAAAAGGCAGAACCAACTTTGCGTGAGTATTGCTAAAATACGATATTTATAATATAAGGAAAAAAATTCTCACTTTAATACATACAGAGTCTTTAAGGAATTTGTTTGAATCTATAAATTCAGCAATTTTAAATATTTGATCTAAGAATCTGAAAGGCTTTCCAGGTCAGGGTCGTGATTATCATAAGCCTAGGTGAGTGCTCTCTTTAATTAGGTTGAGTTAGGCGTTTCAAGCCGTGATAGCTCAGTGTCCGGGCGCTCGCCTTTAATTCAATTTACTCGAGCAACCTGATTTCGATGCCCGGTGCCAGCAACAGTAAAATTGTTAATTTTAAGTACTGAACTATCACGTGCTCAGCGGTGAAGGAAACCTAAAAATAACAAAAAAAATATTTCGAAGATATGTGAAGTCTGCAACTGCGCAGTGGGGTCGCGTTGTGGAATATGCCCTGATACCCTCTTTACAAAGGAGGCATTTGCCCAGCAGCCCACTGTTAGAGAGACATGTAGAGGCTGATACTTTACTTTTTTACTTTAGGCGTTTCGAATCGTTTCTTTGCACGTTTTTGTCTCGGAAATTTTCACGGTAAAGGCTTACGTAATTATGTTTGATCTTATTGCCATATCGATTATCATAACCTCATCATATCGATTATCAATTTCTAAAATAGGTACTTAAAATGCGAATTGTGCGGTATGTAAAGTTGATTGTTATCTTCTATGAATTAATTTTATAGATAAATAGATACTAAAACAGGAGCTCGCTACTCCATTTAATTGGAGCCGTTTTTATTAAATGTTTTTTTATATTTTCCATTACAAATGCCCCTGAATAAAAATGCCTAACTTTGGAAAGTTATGAAATAAGTGTCATAGCCGAATTACTTATTAGAGAAACAGAGTCCCGATATACGAGGGTTACTCATGATAACGACAAAACAACATTAAAATTGATTGTTTCTGTAACGGTATTTATTAAACAGATAACATTGTTTAAAAATTTCCAACTACCGTCTTTGTATGTAATAATCTGTAGTATAAATATACTACAGATTATTACATGCTGCCACTTCAATTAAAATATATGTGCCTATGAACCACGAAATACTGAAATTAATGAAAGTGCATGCTTGAGGAGTATTTTATTTTATATATATATTGCTACAACTTATTTGTAGTTATTATTATTTTGATCTATTTTATATTGTTATCTATACACACCGGCACAATTAGCGGAACAGAAAAAAAAGTGAGACTATGAGATAATAACGCATATATTTGACGAAAATGTAATTAGACACAAAATAACAAATTGATTAACATCTTTTAACAACGACTTTGAAAAGTCTTCGTTATTTTTTATTGAAAAATAAAGAAATTTGAAATAAGTAAAATTTTTAGATGATTATGAACCATCACAAAAAATAAAAAAAAGTAAGCATTCAATGATTTAACAATAAAATTAAAGCAAAATTAATAACGAGTGTTTCCCCCTCGTGCTCTGATTACGGTTTCCATTCGTCTGGGCATGCTACAGATTGTTATCGATGATTTCTTGAGGCAACCGCTCCCACTCCTCAAGTAATGCGTTTCCAAGTTCATTCAGATTGTTGGGGGGTGGCATTCTGGATTTAACCCTTCTTTTTAGCAAGTCCCAGACATGCTCTATTGGATTCATATCGGGGGAATTTGCTGGCCACTGCATCACCGGTATAGCTACGTGGCTCAGATATGCCTGTACCGATTTTGCACTATGAGCACGAGCATTATCTTGCATTAGAATAAAGTCGTCACCAATAAATGGGGCAAATGGTACAACATGTTCTTCTAAAATGTCTCTGATGTATCGATCCGCGGTCATGGTCCCTCCTGTGACTATCACTAACTCCGTGCGAGCTCCCAAACATATCCCCCCCAAACCATAATCGAGCCGCCACCATAAGCCACTGTGTGTTCAAAATTAGACTGTATGTGGCGTTCTCCTTTGCGTCTCCATATTCGCTGTCTCCCATCGATCTGTTTTAAAAGAACTCTGCACTCATCAGTAAAGAGAACCTGCTGCCATTCGTTCAAATCCCAATGACGATGTTCTCGCGCATAGCTTAATCGGTTTACGCTGTGACGTCTCTCAACTTTTGGGCCTTTGGCAGGTATATACGACCCTAAACCAACTTCTTCAAATCTCCTGCGAACTGTACGCTCACTTACTCGTACTCCTCGAACGTCTTCCAGTTCATTTCGAGCTTGTACAGCCGTTAATCGCGTATTCCTACGAACTCCAAGTTGTAAAAAACTCTCATCTCGCCTCGATGTACATCTTTTTCTACCTTGACCCCTCCTCCTCACAAGAGAATTAGACGATCTGTTCCGCTGGATGCTGCGATGAATCGTTGATACTGGTCGACGAAGCCTTGAGGCAATCGATCTGTAGGTATGGCCATTTCTTCTCATTTCATCAGCCCTAATGATTTCCAGTGATGTTAAGTCAGGCATAATAAAGAGCTTTTAATAAACAACATTGCCTATAGAATAACAAATTTATAAAAAACCATTAAGTGCAATTTTTCAAAAAAATTATAATTACGTAGTTATTACTCGAAGAAGTTGACAAAACGTATTGTTCGGGAAAATAAAACAAATGAATGAAAAAAGTGTATGTCATCTAATTTTCTATTTTCAAATTTGACAATAAATTAAAAAAATATCATAACTGGCCACTTCCTCAAGTAAAAGATTTTAAAATCCTGCTTTTTTTTGTGTTCCGCTAATTGTGCCGGTGTGTATATATTTAATACGGTTTGCTAACTAATTGTACTAAGGTGAACCACGCCCTCGTGTATCAACTTTGTAAAAAAAATAGCGTTTGATAGTAAACGTTCATCTACTTCCAGGTATTGTAGATGTCCATGGGCGGTGGCAATTGCTTAATATCAGGTGAACCACGCCCTCGTGTATCAACTTTGTAAAAAAAATAGCGTTTGATAGTAAACGTTCATCTACTTCCAGGTATTGTAGATGTCCATGGGCGGTGGCAATTGCTTAATATCAGGTGAACCACGCCCTCGTGTATCAACTTTGTAAAAAAAAAATAGCGTTTGATAGTAAACGTTCATCTACTTCCAGGTATTGTAGATGTCCATGGGCGGTGGCAATTGCTTAATATCAGGTGAACCACGCCCTCGTGTATCAACTTTGTAAAAAAAATAGCGTTTGATAGTAAACGTTCATCTACTTCCAGGTATTGTAGATGTCCATGGGCGGTGGCAATTGCTTAATATCAGGTGAACCACGCCCTCGTGTATCAACTTTGTAAAAAAAATAGCGTTTGATAGTAAACGTTCATCTACTTCCAGGTATTGTAGATGTCCATGGGCGGTGGCAATTGCTTAATATCAGGTGAACCACGCCCTCGTGTATCAACTTTGTAAAAAAAAAAATAGCGTTTGATAGTAAACGTTCATCTACTTCCAGGTATTGTAGATGTCCATGGGCAGTTGCAATTGCTTAATATCAGGTGAACCACGCCCTCGTGTATCAACTTTGTAAAAAAAATAGCGTTTGATAGTAAACGTTCATCTACTTCCATTTACTTTTATTTCTGGGATCATTCGGTTCGATGTTTGTTTATCCACTCTGTCTGTTGACACACTTGAGACTATGTCAGACAGCACGAGATAAAACCGTGTCTGATAAATGTAATTACGGTTAGCCTATCCGAGTATTGTACACTTTTGATGTGAACGCATGTTGATAAAATGTCTAGACTTTAGGACTAAGATGCAAAATTTATAATCTTATATTTGGAATGGATTTTTGTTCGTTAGTCTCGCTAAAACTCGAGAACGGCTGGACCGATTTGGCTAATTTTGGTTTTGAAATATTTGTGGCAGTCCAGGGAAGGTGTAAACGATGAGAAATTATGAAAAAATTGGATGGAAAATCGAAATAGCAACAATTTTACTTTTCCATACAAACTGTACCAGTCAACCTGTCAAACTCTTTATGCGTGTGCTCCGATTCCTCTAAAAATAATTTATATGGCAAAACAACGTTTGCCGAGTCAGCTAGTAAGTTAATAATATGATGTTGATGAAAATTACAAATACCAAATATTAAGAAAAACAATCATGACCAAAGAAGTTTGATAACTGTCCAGTTCTACATAGTCGGATCTGCAGTCTTCCTCGCTTAGTCGTTATGACTACGGCTGTCAAGTACCGAAAGGCGGGACTTAACGTGGCTTCCGAAGCATGGCCACTAAAGAGCCACTAAAGAGGTCAGTCTGGTCGCGTAGCGTTAACTTGGATGGTCGTTTTAAAAAGAAAACTAAATGAAGTCTAACGTTTTTCATTTTCTTTTGCACAAGAAAACTTTAAATTTATATAATAAGAATTCCATGAAACTTAATCTTGAATAACAAGTGCCTAGTTAGTTTTTTCGATGAATAATCTAAGTCAATATCGTGATTATGTATATCAAACAAAAAAATATCGTTTATTAAAAAAAATATCATTTAAAAGTGGATTTTGAAGTGTATTTTAAAACACCTGTAAAAACATTATTTCCAGCTTCTTCTATCATAACGCTACGCTTATGTAATTGAAATAATGTAAAAGAATGTTTCTGAACCGTCCTTGTATCCGTCTCAGGCATTCTGCATTTTCGTAGCCTTACTTATTTTTTAATGATAAGTGTTTCAAATTGATTGAATTGATTAAGTGTATCAAAGCCATCGTTTCATCATGTGTTCGTCTGGACTTGTTTGGAAAACAAAACATTACAACATGGTACAAGGTAAAATCCAACCTCTTTGTGAATCGCTTAATAATGCTGTAATTTATGTTGAGAAACGAGACGTTTTTTTTACTTAAAATTACAAACAAAGAGCGACGTTGGCACCTGCACGTTTACAACTAATTAGTGTTAGTTTTCAACTGTAGGTAACTGAAGAACATTGTAAAGTTGTGCGCGTCCCAAGTGGGTCGTTGGCCGAGCGTTATTATGAATGAGTCACTGGTCCCGTTTCTGCCGGACGGCTGGAAATTCATTAATACTTTTAATTTATGAACATTAGAGTCAGTTTAATACATTAGGATATATTACGTTTGTAGGAGATTATTTCGACCCGACAACCACTATGCTGACGTCAGGCCTGGGTAAGCAGAGCTAACAATAAAAAGGTAACGAATAACGATCCTAGCTGTTTGTTTGCTAATTGTTAAAAGAAATAATTGTTTAAACCTTCGTGTTGCACTCCTGGATCGTCAACAAGCATAATAAACAACACACCCGACAACTAAATTAGTTATATATGGGTGAAAAATATAAATTTATCGAGTTGAATATACTAAAAACAGGAAAATATACTGCGTTTTTATTTAGATAAACGATAGTATTATGTTCAATTTTATAACAATACGTTGAATTCGTTCCCATTTTATAACAATATATTTGTAATATGAATAAAACTTACTCTTTTCCATTTTCAAAAATTTCGGAATACAATAGAGTTGGGCTTTAATATCATAGTGTCATCATCATCATCACGGATCATTCATCAATTGCTGATGAAATTGCAAATTCCATCATTCCTCTTTGCTCGGATTAACTTTAAAGCGACCGAAAACGATCGAAAACCATTCTCTCTTCATTATAAACGGCTAATGAGGGAGCATCTGCGAAATATTTCTGGGAGCATAACCATCAATCAGCGATTCAGCATAGTTAGCTGGTTGAGGTCGGGCGCCCGCTGCCGCGTCCAGAAATACCGCGGCATCGACCTTGTGTTCGGATGCACGCAGCGCGTTGTTTTTATTATTTAACTTTTTTCCGCATGACCCATTGGCACCAAGGTGACGGCCAGTTTTTCTCATCTCTCATACTTTATTTTTAGGATATCTTGTGTTTGTATCAAAATTTTATTAAAGAAATGAGGTTTTTATATAAAGTTTCCATTTATTTTCAGGTGTCCGAATGATTAGAAATTTTCCGCACATTTAATTTACAGATTTCTTTAAAATGTATTTTATTTATTAAAAAATCTTTGTCTTACGCCCAAGTTGCTTAATTCCATTAGGAACTTAAATGGGTTAAAATAAAGGAGCTAAGGAGTTAAGGAGTTTACCTATAACGAACAGATACGTTTTAATAATTCACAAATCATAATTTTCTTTTGGCGAAATTTACCGTATATTTGAATGATATTTTTCATTCTCTGAAAACAGAGATAAAACGACATTTTTTGGAAATGAAACCTAGCCAGGTTGATTTTTCGCCCCCGAATCTACTACGCACATACTAAATTTCATGAAAATCGCTGGAGCCGTTTCCGAGATTCCGATTATATACAAGAATTGCTCGTTTAATGGTATAGATTTTTATAAAAAAGTCACATCGTTTCCAACACAGCACGGAACAGCATTCACGGTTACGGCACGGACAGTTGAAAGCCGTAATAATGAATAGTTTCATTTCACAATGTGTACTATTCAAGTAATTATAAAAAATATTATCAAAGTCAAGATCTCTAAACGCAATGTGTTGCAACGAAACACTATATCGGGAGACGGGCGACAGCCCGTTACAATTTTGCTACGGATAGCGTGTAACTTTATCTCATTCCGCTGCGATATGCGGGAGAAATTAATTTTCCCAAGCACTCGATAGTGATCACGATCGATGAGACACAATCACGATCCAATATGCGCCCGTCTCAGACGTTAAGTGATTCGTTGCACCCATCTGTAACACACGCGATGCCGCACATACGAGGTGCACGTGATTGCTTCAACGAAGGTGTAGGGCACACAAAACTTGCCTCTTCTGAAGTTCGTCAGTAACTGCGCAGCCCTGTATACATATCTTGGGGGTTATATACGGGACTGCAGAGCCCTTTTGCCCTCCCGTTCCAGGCGCTGCCTTAATAGCTTTCTGTCTTTCTCCCACTTACGGTAGTGTACAGTCGTGAAAACGTTTATTTAAATATTTGGTAGGGTCGTATTTAGCGATAGCTCTGATTTTACGCGTAATAGTAATGGAGCAGAACTTTGGAACGTTCTTTTAACCATTTATAGATGCATGTTCTATTGTTTTGCGAGATTCATATGGGAAAACTTCTGGGCATTAGTCTAGCTTTCACAGTTTATCCAAACAAAACATATAATATAGATATTTCTGAATAAAATGGGTCTGTATTTACTAAGTAATAACTGATTTAATTCATAATTTTCAAGCTGATCCTTATAATTGATGATACCAGTATAGATACTAATAGAATATTTTGATATAAAACGAACCAGTAATAGTATCCATAGTATAGAAGCCAAGAATGTTTGATGACTAACAACTCTCAACGTGCTCAACGTATATATAACTCTTTTCTCTTTATTATTCATAGAGATTTAATGTTAACAGATTATGTCAGCTTCATCTTGGCAACAAAGTTACGACAAACACAAGAACTTATTGTGTATGAGTTAATTTTATTTGTGCTCTGCAGGTGAATGCAGGTTTGAGAAATTAGAATCCTGTGACAACACTTGCCATTAAAATGTAAAATTCCTTAAGGAAATGGATGGAGGGCGACGGCGGATCGTAGTTACATTTTGTCATATTATGTCAATACTGTCTGTCCTTTGTTTGAAATAATTTATGAAAATTATTTCGGAAATGTAATAAACAGGTCGTACGCCAATGCGTCCCTAATATGGTCAATCCAATCGATGCCTTTCGATGGATTTTGCAAATGTGAAAGCTGTACAGACTGACGTTGCTACGATCCGATGTTTTAAAATAAAACGCGCATGCCGCCGCCTCGTGACGTGCATATAAGTCTTGCGAATATTCTGCCGGGAAATCTGCCCGTATGGCACGCGCTCCGTTTACACTGGGGCGCTCGAAAAATGCCCGCTTGACGCAAATACGTTGTCTATTTTGGAGTTCTGCGTCAGTTGCTTGGTGTAATCGGTGTTCTGCAGCTTCGCGGTCACCCGCCGCGTCCTCGCTACTGTTACCAATTCGGGAGACTGCCACGGCAGTTTCCCGCTCATTAACGTATACGGTAATGGTTTCATCGATAATAAATGATGGATAAAGGCTTCAGTCAATAGCCGGTTCACAGGAGTCATCTCGAGACGGCATATTACACTTGTGAGTTTTATGCGCCCACGTATTTCGACTAAGTAATTTTCTCATATGATATCATAATGACGTTTCTATTGCACCGACACTGGCTGTTGGACAATGGTGAGGAAACAATTATCTGGGTTTCATTCTCGAGGGAAAAGCCATATTGTTCGTCTAAATGACGTAAAAGAAATTACACACAAAATGGCCACTTATATTTCTATTAATTTCTTCATCCCGTCCTTTTGATTTGTAATTATTATAACTCTAAAATAAACTTCAATAGGTGGGCATTGTATGTTTAATTTCTGGTATATAATAACTACTAAGTGCAAGAATTGTATGTCATAACCATCAAAGTATAACCTTACCTACTTATTATTTCAAATGTGTAATAGCTAAAAAGTTTTAACACATTTGATATCCATTACTTTATACTTGTTCTTGGATCATACCTGTAGAAGTATACGTCAACAATGTCTTATGTTTATGTTAAGGAAATTTTAAAAGATAAAATGAGATTCCTAATCATAATGTTTCATTGCTTCTTATTTGAATTTCATATCTGTTAAAGAACAGTGGAATTAACGTCGTGATTTAATAGATAATCCAATAGGATAAGGTCAAAATCGTAGTATTGCTTCATATTATGTCGCGTTGTGACGTGAATTGATTATTCAATGTTATACTGTGTACGGCATTTAAAAATATATGGTATCAACCGCACGTAAAGAACATAAATCATGTAATCGCCATTAAATATTTAACTTGCACTGTTCAGTCTTAAAAGCTTACTTCTAAGACTCCTTTTGAAAAGTGAATTGAACGCATCAAAAAAAATTTCGTATACGGTCTTGTCAATGACAGGCCTTTTAATTTTGATGTGAAATACATTTTATCAGCCCTAGTTAAAAGTAAAAAAAGTAAAGTAACAGCCTATACATGACCCACTGCTGGGCAAAGGCCTCCTCTATACAGAGGGTATCAGGGCATAGTCCACCACGCGGCCCCACTGCGGATTGGCGGACTTCACATAACTTCGAAATATATTTTTTTTGTTATTATTTCGAAAATATGCAGGTTTCCTCACGATGTTTTCCTTCACCGCGTAGCACGTGACAATTCAGCACTTAAAGTTAAAAACTTCATCGGTGCCGGCACCGGGGATCGAACTCAGGTTGCTCGAGTATATATTGAATTAAAGGCGAGCACCCGGACACTGAGCTATCACGGCTCATCCCTAGTTAACTTTATCTAAAAATATCAATTATTCTTATATATATATACGCAAGCAATTATTTTTATAATACTAAAAAAATCAATTATTGTTGTAAGCAAAGCCTGAGAAACGTCAACTATACTGTATAACAATGTATTATACTGTATGTTCCTTAAAAGTAAGTCAAAGTGTAAAATAGTGTTGAACGATAAAGTGTGATGCGCTGCCTTTAAGGTTTGAGGTAAATTTGATTCGATACATGTTGGTTTGAATCGTCGGAGAAATCCGTTAGGTGCCTAGGTCGAGGCTTGTGGGGAGAAAGGGGAAGCAGGAGAAAGGGGGAGGGGAAGGGGAGGTACTAGAATGGAGTGAACTATGTTTCCCCAGCGTAGCTTCCGTACTACGGTACATAAGGGTACGCTACTTAGCGTGGTTTCGCTACTCCGAGTGATTTTGAATGGCAGTTTTACATGTAAAAGCTCCAGAGAATACATTATTATTTTGGAGTCATAATTTGTTTTTTTAATTTAGTAGACCTTACTATATAATTATAGAGAAATCTGTTTGATCTATTTACCGTTATTGTGTCGTTCTTAGTTTTTATGTTGTGGCATTGCACCAACTTTTAAATTGTAAACTATTTTTTATTCATATAAACGAAACTTCATAAACTCTATATTAAATGTTTGCTTGACGCTTTTGTATGAAGAAATTAAAAAATTTTTAATATTTCGACTCTCATAATAGTTCCTGCGTCAGTTGATAATACGTGACGTTATCATCTAATTTGACCTCGGCCAAAAGCAAAATCACTATTTCGATAAAATTACATTTTATGAAAAACCTATCAGTACCGGTTATTTAATAAAACGCGTAATTTCTCAAAAAGTAGCATCTGTTCTCTATAAAGATATATGTGTAAGGTAAAAAATAATTATTGCATAGGCACCGGCAATCTCGGGCCGTACATTTGAGAAAAGAAATGGGTATCTCTCTCTGTCGCACTTATTCCCTCTCTCGTTCGCGTTTGTATTGATCGTCGTCTAGACTTGTTGATAGCCGTGAATTCGGTCGAGGGTTGGATGTCCTCGGAACTAGAATACTAAGTTCCCTTGACTTTGCATTTCACTAACTAGAATAACACTTCCATTTTCTGTGTTACCTAATTAAAAAAATATTTCGCATGTCATTTATGTTACGACGAAATTGTGTTGTTATATTTTCTCCATTCTAATTAAACAATTCAATATCAATTCTCGCTATTTTTACTCATGAGAAAAATGATAAGCAATTAATATGCGAAGTAAAATTAACCAGAGTCTCAGACTATTTTCGCAACAAAAGGCCAATTTAACCTTAGTTAAGTGGTATTGAACTCTCAGATGCGGTCGTTAAAACTAATAACAATATGTACATATCAAATGAGGTTTCATTATAGATAATTTATACCAGTACATTTATGGCAGTAAATTATGACAATAAAGGCAGATGGTATTATGTTACAAATACAAATGAATCTAATCTTAAATTGAGTCGCAGGTGCGTCAAGAGCGTTCCACGCAGGTTCGTTGTCTTATAATTTTATCGCAATTAAAAGATAAGCATTGACGCAAATGTCTGTTGGCCGATGTTTGTTAGCAAACTTACCTTCAAGCTGCTTAATAACAAAAGTACATACTATGCGAACCACACGCAACGTGCTACAATACTGTTTTGTTTATACTCTTAGAATGTTAGAAAAAAGCTGCATATACTGGAGACTAAAGACTATTAATTATCAATGAAAAGAATATTTATTGTACCTCTTTTGAGCTTATTGATTTTTAAGTTCGTACGTTCGTAAGTAGAAAGACTACTTAGAGCACATTACATTTTGTTTACATTTAAGTTTTTAAAGTTTACTTTGTACTATTGACTTAGGCCATATAATCTCTTTGTTATTTCAGAATTTACAAGTCAATTAATTATATCCAATTAAAAAATAAATTAACCGCTTCGACCAAACAGAAACATGAGATAACAACAGGCATTGAGGCTATTAAATTAATGTTGTAAAAATATAAAAATTGTAGCGTTAAAACCGTCTGTTATCAAATATTGTAAGTACGATTAATATTGACTTTAGTCTGTGGTTAAACGGTATACATAAAAGATTGACGCCAAAAATTAAAAAAGTAACACATTGATTGAATGACTTAAAGAGAAAAAAAAAAATGGATTAATTTCAATCACTGGGCGACCATTAGTATCAAGTCTTGCTTATAAAAACGGGGACTTGTAAAATCAATGAATAATAAAACAAATCATAATATTCAAATTGTAGTATTTATTGAAACATTTGATTAAAGCTTTGTTTGTTAAACAGTAAACCAATGAGGGTTTCTCTGGTTTCACTGAGCTTCTTTATTGAGAAAACGACTGATGAATCTTGTATTGTCATTTTAAAATATATGGTAAATTCGAAGAAATTAAAAGCAAATAAACATTCATAAAATAAAAGTCTTGTCACAAAACAGCAGAGTTTTTTTTACATGGCTTAATAAAAATGTCTGGAGTATAGGCGTTCCTACAAACCTGTTTGATGTGGTTGTTTTTCCTTTGTATCGTGAAAAATGTGCAGCTTGCGGACAGTTTCCTATTATGGATGATATAAAAAGTGGTTTGGTGTGTGTGTGATCTATAATTGGGGCTTCAACCTGTCACTGCTTATCGGAATTAAATGTGTTTGATTACGTGCATCGTATATCTCTATTAAATTTTTAGCTTGCCGGTACTGGCTTTGTGGGATAGGCAAACGTAAGATACATTAAATTTTAAATTATCTAATTAATGCAATTAATCACTTAAATAACTTACGGCCATAATTTGTTTATATTTATAATTTATAAAATGACCGTAGACATTGATAAGAGACATTCAATGCAAAATTAAAAACTAACTTATGGAAGTCATATTATACCATTGCGGAATATCTTGACGACGCCAATGTGTAGAGTTATACATGTACCATTATATTGTAAAGTAATCTATTTTTAAAAAAGGGCAACTGTTGTGTTTCTTTCTTCTCAACAGAAACTGCTTTCCGAACCGGTGGTAACTTACTTACGGACGTATTAATTTTTATGTAAAATTTTAACGTTTCATGAGCACGCGCGAGCGTCTATGTGAATAATGATATTGTGAATTTTAATTTGAACGGCTCATTTGAAAGAACCGAAAACCATCTCAAGGTCCAAATACAGGGACCCAGATATCAACGCCAACTTAAACAACCGTCGCCCGCGCAACGTCCACATCGACAGCGTCGAAGAAGGGGACACAAGTACTTTAGACCCACCAGGGGGGGTGATACTGATCCCCGATTTGGATCTTGCGAGCACAAGCGCGGCCCTATCCAACGAGGAGGGCCGTTATAAGCTCGTGGCTTCTAGCCCACGGGTTCTGCGTTCGATGAACCTTTAATAGTCTACTGACTGTTTTTTGAATGACTGACTGATTTGAATGTTTTTTATTATAAAAATATTCTTTTTTTTTGTTAAATACATTATTGTATCACTCATTGATTCTGTGTTTCGTCATTATTTGCAATACATACCAAACTAACAATACTAAGCCATACATTTTAACATCATAAATTTTAGCAGTATATTATAAAAAAAGACGTTTGATTATAATTTTATTACCTGTTTTACCAACCCTACTAAAAAATCTATCCCGATTGGAGACATGTTATTTCTTGAAGATTAATTGAAAAATAAAAGTCAACTAAGTAACACACAAGGA